ACCACCCCCCACCCCATCCTTGTCTCCAACGAAGCTTGCGAAAATGAAGAAAAAGATATCACATATAATACCCAACCTTGGATCTTCATCTAATACCCCAATAGTATTAGATGATGATGATCTTGCTGATGATGCTAGCATCGCGACTGAAACCTCTGACATCTTAGCATTGATTTCAGATGATGAGGACGATGACGACGACCTTCTTTCTCATGAAGAAACAGGCACCACAAACCGCAAAACGGATGGATCATTTATACCGAAGGAGGGGGCATTCATCCCAGGAAGCCTCGATACGTCTGATCTTCCAATGCTTCCATTGCCCTCCTATGCCACTGGAGGCGCGAGTAAAAGAATCCAGAGTGATCTTAGGAGTATCGTGAGGCTTCAGCAGACACAGCCGATTGAAGAGCTCGGGTGGTATGTTGATACAAGTCGCACGGATAATATATATCAGTGGATTGTTGAGCTCCACAGCTTCCCTGAGCACTTGCCATTGTTCAAAGATATGAAAGAGAAGAACGTCAAGAGTATTGTGCTTGAAATGCGATTTGGGAGCCAATACCCTATGAGCCCCCCATTCATTAGGGTCGTCAGGCCCAGGTTTAGGGGATTCGGTCAAGGTGGTGGTGGACATGTAACTGTTGGTGGTGCGCTTTGTATGGAGTTACTCACAAACTCTGGGTGGAGTGCAGTCAGTAGTTTAGAAAGCGTTCTCCTACAAGTGGTAAGCTCAACACATCCTTCTATCCACAATGATTATTTTAGTGACTAACTTTTTTTTTTCTAGAGGATGATGATTGCAGAGGAATCTCCGCCAGCTAGATTGGCGGCTGGTCCAGTACAGTCTTATGCACCATCGGAGGCGAAAGATGCATATCTTCGGGCTTGTAGAACGCACGGATGGACCGTGCCAGCAGATTTTGCAAGCATCGTCTAGAATATGAGGATTGAATTATTTTATCGGGCAAACAGGAATACACCAATATACCGTAGTCCTTTTTCCTTAAATATTTTCCTCGGGGGGATGGCATTAGCGGGTATTTTTTTTGATCGCATAATGGATTTATTCATTTTTAAAGTCATCGTTAGCCTTTGGTATAGGGAATGGATTAAGGCGTCTTCTTTTAAGCATCTGTCTGTTATTCGAGCTCATCGTACTCTTCCTTTTTTATAGTTTCATGCCAACTATGCACATGTCGATATTACTTTCTGAAGTTCGGCAAGGCATTTCTATTATATACTTGGGTTCTGCAATAGGTTTTTTTTGCCGATGACTTTATTGAGTTCTGAACAGTCCATGAAATACATATATGGAGAGAATAATCCTAAGCGTTGAGACTCTGACTGAAAAAAATGATATGTGACATACAACCTCAACTGTATCAGTATGTCCTCCTATCACAAACTGTCACTCGGCATCATCCGCGGTTGACGTTGCCGGGAACAAATCTTGCATGGAATTTGAGTCCTAGCGTTGAGACTCTTGGCGGCAGGAGTAAAGCAGTGCTGTCTGTGGCAGCAGCTCGGTGATCATCTATTGCAGCTATCGGTTGCACCATCTTTCCAAACTATCTCAGTTGGAATACAATACCTCTACATCCCAGAATACTCCATCGGAATGCCCGTATATACATGTATATATTCTTGGCTGCTTTTATTTTTTTTTGAGTTTTCTTCCTTTTCCAGGATCCGCCTTGGCACTGTGACTGTAAAGTTCAACTCCGTGATCCGGACAGCGTTAGTGCGCAGGGTTAGGGTTGCAACAAGGCCATTGATCGCAAGGTCCACCAGTCCATTTGCATCGGCTCGGAACACACCTCCCACCAAACCTTCTCGAAACACAACCCATCGTCGACTCCCTCATCCCATATCACAAATAGAAAACACACACAAAACTACCGTCATAATGTCACGTTCCTACGTGCAGGGCCTAGGCCTAAACCAGGTCAAGCCCGAACAGACACCCTCCGCTACGAGCTCCGACGACGGCCTGGGCGACAACCTGGACATGTACACAAACTCGACCTTCGACTTCCTGGATGCCGACTTTGAGTTCGACCCGACTACTACCACTGCTGCCGCCGCGGGAATAGAGGACGTTGGTGGTGCGACGGAGACGAAGGTGATGGATCTGTTCGCGGCAGAGGACATGTTTGGCGACCTGGCCGATGTAGTCCCCGGCCCGTTTGTGGGCGGGTATGATGTTTTGGCGATGCCCCCCAGCTCCTCGGTCCAGAATAGTGTATTCGGCGCTTCGCAGTTCCCGATGTCGCCCCCAGCGCAGTTCACGACGGCCTCTACACCTGTGGCGGATGCGTCTCCGGCTACTCCGGCTACTCCGGCGCCAAAAGGGAGGAAGAAGGCGGCGACGAATCCGGAGGCTGTGAGTGCGGCCGATGAAGACAAGCGCCGGCGTAATACAGCTGCATCGGCGCGCTTCAGGGTCAAGAAGAAGCAGCATGAGCAGCAGTTGAAGGATAAGACGAATGAGCTGACGGAGCATGCACTGAAGCTGGAGGAGAGGGTGAGGAAGTTGGAGATGGAGAATGAGTTGTTACGAGGACTCATTATTGAGAAGAACGGAGAGGGGGCGGCATCCCTCGCTGAAGGGGGTATGGGCTTTGCGGCTTAGACCCTTTTCCCCCTCCTGCTCTATATCCTGCTTTTCCTCTTTCCTCTGTTCTATTTTGGATTGTTTTTTGTGTTTTGACATTTTTTTTTTCTGGGAGGCTTTTTGTCCTTTTCTTTCCCATTGTGAGGCCTTGATTTCTTTATCTAGGGATTCTATAGAATATTGACAACCCTTTTCCTTTCGCCCCCGAATGTTTGGTTAATGAGAGTGGATGACTATGCGCAACGTGTATATGTAATAGCAAAGAATTAGAGATGCCCGTTTTGTTGATATATATTTATAGCTGGGAGGCTCGCGAATTCGGTGACTTGAAGTCAGTACATAGATAGATGTCTCCCCGTTCGAGAATTCAGTGATTTATCAACGCCAACATTTCATGAACAGGTATCTGGCTAAGTTTTGGAAGGCGCCTCCACGATCATTTCCCTCGGGGCTCCCAGGTGCGATTTCCGGTTTTGGATGGCGAGGTGGGGTAGGTATTCATGTGACGCAATTGCCTTAGGAGGAGGAGTAGGGATTAGCGCTGTCAAGGAGATGCTGCGTCGGGGACCTTGGGCCGGCTGTGCTTGGCGGCCGTTGCCAAGAGGTGCCCTGCGCCAATAAAGCACATTCCTTACTGTTCCTGAAATAGAGATCGACTCCATATCGTGGTCCTGAACTCGGGGAGTAGTGCTAGAAAGACCGAGTTTTCCATCGCCGTTTGAAACCTTGAGCTGCAACCGTCACGTAGGCCCGCCGTTATTTATGGGGCAAGTTAAATAGCCTGGGGGGAGTTCCCCTCATGCCAGTTCTTCTTTTTCGTATTTCGCGAGAACATAGAGCGATGGTGAAATCTCCGAGTAGGCAGCTTTGATTGGGTCGTCCTTTCCATATGCAGCCGCCCGCTGCCAACCGAAAAAAAAGCCGGATAGCAGCAGTGAGCCGTGGACCTCTAGGTACAATTTCTCGGTCGAGCCTTTACTTCCGTAGCCGGTATCTCCAAGTTAACCCGATGTTCTCGAACCATATAAGAAGCACCGGGCCCAAGGATAACCGACCTAATGAGATGAGATGACGAGGGACTAGACTAGGAACGATCATTGGTCGTAAGAGGATTGGCCCTAACTCGAGGCTGTCGTTTCTTAGACCTAAGCTAGGATCTAATCCGTATGTAGTCTCGGTAGAGCTTTATTGACAGCAAGGAGAGGATATATATAGCATCTATATCTCTTGTGACGCATATTCTTGGAATGATGGGGTGGGGAAGCCGTGTAAAACACCATACATAATGTATTTCCCAGCTTCAGAGGGACCACGCTAGTAGTTCTTGCAGAACTTGGTAAAAAGCGGTTGTGTATTCAGATGTAGTTGGGCCCAACTGCGGATAGTTGCTAATTAGCTTATGTTGGAGCTAGGGGTGTTCTGCAGTGGTACCTAGATAGCCAACGTACCCACTGCTACATGGACGAGAAAGGTGACTAGCACACAGTGCAGTCGATACAACATTTAATTTACTGTCTCCCTAGTATCAAGCTTCTTAAGACGTAGACGGCCCCTGTGAATGTAGTTGAAAGCAGAGTGGATTTACGCTAAGAGGCGGGTCATGAGGTATCACTCGGTAGGTCTTCTGATATCGGGAGAGATGCTCCAAGATTCTGGGGAGAAAGTAGAGATGTAGACGGAATGAAGGAGAATTCCTGCCAGCTGGTTGCAGCCTATTGTGAATAGGTGGCCTTATGACGTTTATTGCAGCAATATTGATTTAGGTCTCAAATATATCTAGATATTACTCTCCACGAACATGTTCGAGACAAGACTGGGACATAGGCTCGTCTCGCGTCATACTGATTTTACGTGCGGTCCACCGCCCGGAACTGGTCGTCACACCTCAACGCCAACCACGTGAGGCCGGGCACTGCGAGTGATAATCTATGACTACAACCTTAGTTGATTGATTGATTGATAACTCATTCATGTATTCAGCCTGTAAGCTATGACACTCTAAAACGTTAACGAACAAACTACATGTATAGCGACATATTTACGAATGACTGGTTAATTGATTGATTTGTTAGAAATGACTACAATTTATAGGAGATACAAAAGAGTGCAAATATGCAGTTACAAAGATTGCCCAACCAAATATACATGTATCTGTTGTTATTACATGTACTATTTTCTTTGATTTCTTCGATCCCTTCTATCAATTGACTTCTCCCTTTGTTTCCTTGTCCCTCCCAGTTGTCCATCGCCTTGGGCCTCTTCTAGACCTCGAGAATTCCATGCCCCGCTATTCCTGACTCTGAGCCTGTTTTGAATATTCTTCCATCCAGCTCAACACCCGCGGGAAAGACACATCATTCTTCTTATCATTGCCAGTGTAGTTCTAATCCCCAGACAAAGTAGCTGGCCCGAAATGCTTAAAGAAGCACCATCTCTCTCCAGTACATGTAGTTCCCTGCACATGGCTTCTGGGAGGCTGAATCCACTGAGGATACAGATCATGTGGGATCTCTGAAAGCCCGCTGGTGACAAAAAATGAAGGCTGAACTGCCTGGATAGTGGTGCTAGTGGGTGTAGTTGTCGGTCTCGCGATCGGCTTGTTGTATCTAACTGTCTCCATCTGGGTGACAGTGCTTGTAGTGATAGAATCGGATGACGGCCTCGCGATCGGCTTGTTGTATGCGCGGCTAGCATGTCGCTGGGCTTCATACTGGCGCTGTTGTTCCTGGTAGCGGCGCTGCTGTTCCTCTTGGTCCTGACGCTGCTGCTGTTCCACCTCAAGTCTCACGTACCTGCAAAGCTCATCGAACTCTGCCCACCCCGCATGCATCTCCCGCTCAAACTCCTGCTGCTGCTCCCACAACTTCATGTCGAAGATCGCCTGATTCTGCTGCAACTTACGCTCCTCCTCTCTCACCTTCTCAGCCAGACCCTGCTCGAACTTGTAGAGCACCGTTTCCGCCCGAAGATGCTCCTGGAATCGCATCTTATTCTCGTCGATAAGTTCCTCACCATCAGTGTCACCGTCCTCTTGAGAAGAAACAGAGGTATCATCAAGAGTCTGATCCACCCAGTCAAGTTTGTCTTCCTTGGAAGTACTGGTACCAGTTTGATCTTCCCAGTTCCCTTTACCATCTTTAGAGGAACTACCAGTCTTGGCCTTGTAGGCCCGCCCGGCCCAGCACCAATCGTCTGTTTGTGGCGTAAGGCCCCTTTTGGATTTCTCCACTTCAACAAGCTTACGATAACCTACCTTTAAGCCCTCCCTATTGATAACATCCCCAATAGCCATAAGCTCCTCCCTTCTCTTAAACAGATCGAGTTTTCCTTCGAGCCCGACTTTGCTTTCCCAGAGGTCGACGTTAAATCCCAGGACAAAGCGCTGCACATGCCATGGAGAATCATAGTAGCGGTCTTCTTCGTGCCCGAAAGAGCAATTTTTGGGTTGGTTGCAAGATTTTATCTCGCCACTATTGGAGGAGGAGGAGGAGGAGGAGCCGGGAGGTGACAATCCACATTGGATCATGGCGTAGTAAGGACGATCGCGGGGTGCGTTTTTGTAAATAAGTCCGCGCCTTTGGTGTCTTCTATTATTGACTATAATAGCGGCGTGCGGCTTTTTGTTGGTTTGAACCATTTCTTTGGAGGGGTAGACAGGGTCCATTCTTGTGGCTTTTCTGGAGGGAGAGATTGGGATAGTGGGGTAGTTGGTAGTGTGTTGGTTATTGGTAGATATTTGGGAGGAGCTGATGTCGGTAGGTGTATGGGGAGAAGAGTTGTCGTTGGGAGGTTTTCTTTTAAGAGTGAGGTTGGCGTTTTTTGGAGGGGCCTGAGCACTGTTTAATTTGGGGCCTTGGTTCCTGTGGTAAAATTGTCTACCAGGAATGATATTTGTGTCGAGGGTGGTTGGTATGTCGAGGGGTAGCGGCTGCCACTTCTTGGGTTTTTTCTTTGGAGTGAATGGTTTGATAAGACTGGTGGTGTCTTTGGCACTATCATCGGTAGGGTGCTGAAGGGAGTTATGTTCATCTTCCGTCTTTTTGGACGAATTAATGGGTAAGCCACAAGGATTCTTAATGGTAACTTTGAATTTTTGGGCGGGATGCTCAGGTAGGTCTGCCTCCTTCATCTCCTCTTTCTCAGAGATGAGCGGTGGGGCGATAGATTCGGACAAAGTTTGAGAGTCGTCTGGAAGTATCTGGAAGAATTGTGGCTTCTTGTTTTTGCTCTTCTTCTTCTGAGGAGTAAGCGACTTAGTAACATTGATAGCTGGAAGCTGGGGAAAGTCCTCATTCATAATTTCTTTGATGCGGGTAAGAAGTTTGGGGGGAGAGTGGATAGATTTTGTTTCAACAGGAAGTTGAAGAAAGTAGGGCACACTCATGTTTTTATTTTTGAGCATGAGTAGTGGGGCAGAAGTGTTAGATGAATTACGGAGAATTTAGATGTAGAGAAGTTGGGGGCGGTATTCTTTAACGGTTCTATTCGGGGGAACTAGTGAGTGACTTACTATGACGCTGTACCCCCCTGGTAGTACGAGTAGGAAACTAGGGCAAGTCCGACTGCTGCAATGCTTTACTCACCGTACTTAGTATTTTAGCAGGATTACTGGTATTCTTATAGCTACTAGTAAGCACGCAGTGCAGTGGGGGGTTCATTTCTTTATCATTTCCTTCTTGCGTCCCTTAAAATTTTGCTGGGAAATAGGAACAAGGGCCTCGCTCTGGTCTTCGAGATTGACATTTTCCGAGCTTTGAAAATCATTGGTGTAGGGCTGTAGATCACCTGGGACAATTATACCTCATCCTATACAGTGGACTACTTTAGTGTTGTCAAAGTATCATTGACATTGGTGGTTACTTGAAGAAGGTTTATAGTTCACTTATTGGATGCAGGCAGTTTCGAGTGGCTTCATGTACCGTTGGCACGTATTACATACTGAGAATAGCGCTTTTAGATTGGGGACGTAATCTGTCTTTAACGCGGGGCATAATTTCTGTAGTAAATAGGTTCTACTCAAGGCAGAAAAAACTCCTCTCTCCGGGAAAATTTATGGTTAGTAAGCAGAGGTAATGATAGTGTTGTTAGAAATATCGAACTCTTGGCAACCCCGGTTTACGAATACCTTCACGTTTATAATCTAATAACTCATAGATTCCTATCATATGCCTAAATTTCCCGGGGATCACGGAGACACTTGATTTCAGAACCTTGATTAAAGCTAGCTACCCAATCCAAAAACGTGGCGAATGCCCAGCTAAGGCGACGTTTCTAGGGGCATTCCTGTCGCCTCGACTCAAAGTTTTGTAGGCTGCACTCATGCGTGACGGTGACGTTTAATTTGACACAATATTAAAATATAGCCTATCCCTACTGCATACTTTAAAAGGCCGGGGCTAGCCATGATATTTTCACCTAAAGATTGTCTTTAAATCACTGCTACTATGCGAGACAGAAGATGGGAAGGTATAAATGGACTTTTGGATACGCTTCGAGTAGGTTTTGTTCATGGTCACATGAGAAAAATCAAGAAGTCCCCCCTAAACCTTTTTATATTCTTCCAAACTTTCCTCTTTTCCTTAAGGGAATACCCAGGGCACCATAGCTTTCGACCAAAACCAACCAAAAGAGATGTGCAATCGCGCGTTCCATCCTGTCGAGCGTAGAAATAACAAGTACAAGGGGGGAAGAAGCGAGCAAGTGAATTTTGGGCTGGAAGAGGAAACACTGCAAAAAGAAAAAAAAAAAAAAACCATAGTACAGGCGGCTCAAACACGCGAGCCCTGTTTCCTGTACATCAAAAAAAAATGAAAAGGGATTGGTGGAAATTATGATGAGAAAGCCAAAGAAAATCGACATTATATCCCATTAGCATACAACCAAATGCACACCCTTAACAGACTTGACGAATTTTAGACCCTGTCTATAGTTTCTAGAAACTAAACTTCACGAGGTTGGCCAGCCGAAGATCTCTCCGAGCTGTCCTGGTTTTTGCTGCCACGGACATCTTTCTGGTCGTCGCTACCATCATCGGTGGGTTCGCGGTAGGGGTACCAAACGCCATTGTTTCCGTAGTACCCGTATCCAGCATTGGTCCAGATCAAGAACCCTGGGCTGGTGACTCCAGGAATCAAGGTGCCCGTAGAATCAAATGGGTGACCCGGGTACTGCCCCTTATCAAGTCCTGGCCACTGCTTCTTTGTTTCCGGCACAAATGCGGAAACTTCTGGTCGAAGGGCGAAAGAGTTGACCGGCTTCACATCATCGATAGGAGAGAATTTTGTGTCATCTGCAGGTATGAGTGCGCTTGGGATATTTTGCTGCCAGTTATACACAAGATCCTCTGTGTTGATTCGGGGAACCCGCTCCATGTTCTTGGTATTCATATCTCCAGGTACGGAGATATAACCTTGGGACTGTTGCATATCATATGCACCTGTATCAGACGCTTGATATTGGGACCCAAAATCACCATCGTAATACTCCTGATTGTAAGCGAACTGAGGCTGCGCCTGGAAGTTGTGATGGACGTTGTAATCCTGCGCAATGCTAAATTGCATTGAGAATGGGGCGAAATCATTCGCCATCGGGTCCATCTGCTGCGCGCCACTGTAGAAAGAAATATCCTGATGGCGAGACTGCCAATTTTGGAAATCAAAATCGCGGCGAGGGTAAATCTGATTATTATTCTGGGACGGGAACGCAAACTCCTGACGATGGTGAGAGTTTTGATTTTTCTGAAATGAAAAATCCTGGCGATATTGAGACTGCTCAGTGGGGTGAACATGCTCATTTTTCTGGAAAGCAGGATTCTGATGGTGTTGAGTCTGGTCATTAGGCTGGAGATCGAAATTCTGATGATGCTCGTTAGCCTCGAGGGCGCCATTGCGGTTCTGGGGGCGTTTTCTCGTCTTTTTGGCCTTGATAGAAAACTCCTGAGGGTGGTGGTAAGTCTGATGTGAAGGGGTTGCGAGATCACTAGCACGAATACGAGGCTCCGCCCTGAAAGTAGGATTTTGTAAAAGATTTCTCGCTTTAATTTTGTTGTCTCTCCATGCCATCATACTCTTTAGTTTTGTTTTTTCGGCCTCGGTGATGCCAGTTTGCCATCGGTTAACATAATGACTAGATTTGTGAGTGGAATCGGTGTAAACATCTCCCTCGTGGCCGTAGTAGCAATTGGGTCCATGCATACAGCCATACACTCCTGTAGCGCCCAAGGTACGAAAGCATTGAAAACCGTAAAACCTTGGCCTTGGTCTCAGGAATGCACCAGGCCCAACAGGAACCATGGATTGCAAGCGTTCAAGAACAGTCAGCGTTTGTTGATTGCTCTGATTACCTTGACCTGGGAAAGCCCTGCCACCAAGGGTATTTGGACCAAGGTCCATGAAATTAGTCTGAGTAGCAGGTTCTTGAACCTGTGGCTCTTCAGACCAATCCAATAGTGGTTGAGCATTGGTCACAAAGTCTTTGTTATCCTTAACATTCTCGGTATGAACATGTGTGGGAGGCTTTTCCTGGTTGGGATTTTGGCATGCGTTGTTTTTCTTTTTGTTCCTCTTTTTGTGGGTGTTTGAACTCTTCTTTACTTCTGCAGATGGGGCAAGAGGAGAGATACCAGAGCTAACACCAGTATTGGAAATAGACTTAAGTAACCCTGCTTGGGGCTCTGGAGCGGTAGAGGTACACTCGGCAGAGGGTGTGGCTACAGCATGCCCGAGAGGAAGTGAAATGGGCTCTTTTTTCGCCCACCTCGAATGTGCAAGATTTTTAGCTTCGGGAGCAGCGGTTGGTCCTTGAGTAGCAATAGGCACTTGAGGAGCCATAGGTACGCCTTTAGCCTCTTTTTGCATCCTGGGCGTAGAAGAAGGGAGTTTGGCAGCTTCATTCCCGGCAGTGACAGGTAAGTGGAGATCACCAAAAAGATATCCACCACCAGGACGATAGTCAGGGGCCGGCCTTGATGGAAATTAGCACCGTGAATGAAAAATGAAAAAAAAAATGAAAAAAATCGAGCGATTTTTTTTGTTGACTTACATTATTTCTAGAAAAACTTTCCGTAACGAAAAGATTTAGAGGGATGAAAAAATTAAGAAAAGACTAGCAGATATTTAGTTAGTGTGAATTCTGTCTCGTCAGCAGCAGCAAGAAGGAGTGGCTTACATTCTCAAACAGAAGCCCGGGTGCTTGCAGTGCAATGAAAACTAGAGAAATAAGACAACTGGGAATAAGAACACCAAGGTCAGTATGTACTTCTTTTGAAAGATTTATGTGGATGAAAGGCTTACCCTCGTTCGTTAGTTCAAACAAGGCAAGGGTATTGAAAGAGGAGGATCCACAGGACGACCTTCTGTTGAAGAGAAACCGAATAGCTGAGAGAAAAAATCAGTTTACAAATTTTAGGTTGAAAATGATGGGATACGCATGTGTGAACTTACCAACAAGAAAGTTTCAATCAACGCGGCCGGCCAGGTAGATTGAAGAGCCAGAAAGAAATTCTCTGAAATACCAGGAGAACTGGAAGATCTTAGTTGGATGGAGTTCGATGGTAGGATGAAAAGAAAAAGTAATGGAGGTGGGATGGAAGTGGTGGTGACAGTGGTGGTTGTAATGGCTGGTGGGTTTTGGTGGGGTTGAAAAAACTAACCCGGAGGTCGTGGATCAATAAGACAAAATACAGAAGCGGCTCTGCATTGGTCCACATACCTGAATAAACCTAAGCTGAGTGTGGTAATAATGTTTATGGGCAGCCAAGTTTCGATATCCTTCGACTGTATAATTAGCCGACGTACTTGCCAGTGTAAACTGTCCTAAGTGCATTGACGGAGCTTTGCGGAATAGAGGCAGTAGCAAAAGGTGCTGCCGGATCCCTTTTCACAAAGAACATGCATCCTTTTAATTTGCAATTGCAAACCAACATTGTCTTCGACACATTTGCTGCAACCAAACCGTCACTCGATTCTGCAGCTCATTTACTCACGGTGCGAAATGTTTTGGCATCCACAAACGAAAGGATATTAGACCAGGCACTGGCAACGAGGGAGGCTTTGGACCAAGAATTTTGATCATTATCATGTAAGGATGGGGATACCACACACACACGAAAGCCACTGCGATACTTCACTCATAACATGAGAGTATTTACCAAACTCAAATATAGGCAATGCATGTGCATACGACACTTTCCCCCCGATGCACCGCGGCCGTACCTGTCGTTATTACGGCTGGCTGGCCGACACTACCATAGCTGAGTACAAACAAGAAATCGGCGGCCAAACACGCATCCAAGAGCGGCCAGGCTTGAAATCTTGAGAATTGGAAAGCATCTCATTCTAATTACGCATTAATTGATTTTCTCTAATTATATGGTATCTACATAAAGGCTTCTATCGTCAGACCATTTGACCGCACTCAAAGGGGCACAAACTGACTAACCTAGCTACACCTCAAGTCATCTCTCAACTCCGTCCCCCATATGTTTGGGCTCGTGCAAGCACCTTCTTGCACCCCGCCACACCAGCTCTAGCACTTTCCGTCCCGGTAATAATGTCTATACTCTGTCAGTATTTTCCTCCGATCTCCATAATACTCTCGGAGAACGATGAGACCAACCGGGAATACAACGACCAACCCCTCCTCTCCTTCCACCACAACCGCCAAGTAAAACCTCACCTCAAACCCCCTAAACCCCTCACAGATCCACATATCACCGACCCTCTCCGTTGGGATAAACCTGCTCCTCGTGCTCCACCCCGTCTTCGTCGTGATTTGGACACCTAAGTCTCTAATCACAACCAGCGATTCCTCAGTATAGCCTCCTGTGAAGAGAAGCACATAAAACAGCACCGCCGAAGCGGGGAGCAGGTGACGCCATTGGAGCGAGGTAGAGAAGCGCGAGAAGGTCGCGAGAATCGGGTGGATGAGCGGGTGGATACTACTTGAGTATGGTGGCGGCTGGAACTTTGTCAGTAGGAGGAGAAGGGTGGTGGCGGTCAGAATCAAGCGCAGGAGTGAAGTGAAGTGCGTCAGGAGTGTGTGTGGGAGCGTCGGCGGCGGCGCGTTGGAGAGTGTAAACTCCACGGTTGTGGACGAGGGCGTACGTATTCGGAGCTTTGGAGGTTTGGTGAACATTTTGGTGATTGATTGAGGTGAGTTTAGTATAGTTATTCGCATAGCGCTGTGGAATTGTGAGCTTTTGAGATATTTACAGGACACTTTGGCGCGAGTTGTGCGTTTGACGTCTGGGTTACTGGATTTGGTATCGCGCCGGGAACAGCCGAACTACTAGATTCCTAGGTGGGTAATTTCTTGGCATCTAACTATTAATCTTTAAGTTGGATCTAGTTTGAAACACATAGCTACTGCATAGTGATGTGCCTATCGCTCAGAAAATATCAAACTATAGGTAATTATGGATATCTAGGTCCTCGATCAGAGAGACGCCTCACTGCTTTGCAACACCAGCACCTACACTCGGAGCTCTCTCTGCGATCTGATACATACAATAAAAGGATGCGTCAGATCAGTGATCTTATCAGTCGTAGTTTTCTAACGTTTCCGAACTGGACTTGGTCTGCATACCACCAAAATCTGGTTGTCAAGCACGATTTACGCCCATATGCAGACCCAGTCCAGTTCGGAAACGTAAAAAAACTACGAGTACATACTCATATCTTGAAGGAGTTTGATCATGGTCGATTGCCGGTTGCAGGTTGCGATTGGGCTGCGGGGATGACAGATTAATCATAAATATACGCTTTTCAGTACTGTACATACATGTAAGGTTTGCAATTTGAGCGGAAAAGAGAGGGGTTCCCATATGTCTATTATGTACTGGATTATGGTTTTTCTGAAGTCCTTGCAGTCTGATTGGCCGAGAGCGAGAAACCCTAACGCTGCATAGCAACCAGCCCACCCACCAAAAATTGGGAGCGGGCAATGACACTGGCATGCCGAACTCATTAACAGGATGGCATTGGAGGTGGAATTAACTGGAGGTGGAATTAACTGGGGATGGCATCAACTGGAGGTGGCATCAACTGGAGCTGGAATTAATTGGAGCTGGAACTAATTGGAGGCGGTATTGGAATTGATAACTTATTATTAACTGAAGGAACTGGATCACTACATAGGAGGTGGACATTTGAGGGAGCTGGCAATGAGCGACTATGGGAGCTGGCTATTGCCATGATGGGAGGCGCTGGCAATGGGAAACTACTGCAGATGACTAAGGGAAACACTGGAGCTGGCCAACTACTATGGGTGAGCAAGTACGTGTACTGGAGGTGGGAAATACTGCATGGCGGTGGGAGAGACCTCGCGGTCGCGAGGTGGGCCACTACTAGTATATACGTACATATATTATCTTATTTCGCTTTCAAGGTTTCAAAATTTTGATAGTTTGCTATGCGTAGGCTGAAGCTGATATATTTTATGTAATGAGTTATACATGAAGATACAGCCTAAGATTGCAAGGCAAGGAGTCGGATTCGTGCTACAACTTGCAGCAAGTGCCACTGAGGACATCAGACTACATCACTCGTGCTTTATATATGGCTACCGATACTTGACGTCCATCTCTGTCACCTACTTAGTTTTTGTTTCATTGATGCCCATCTCTCTGCCACGAGGACAACATCAGTCCCGCGGTACCTACCCCAGTTTCGACAGCAGCTGGCACACACATGGTAATGAAGAAAAGGTTAAACTAAAACAGTCAACAAAGAATTTGGAATCCAGTCCTCTATGAACTACTTAAGTACAATTGTGTAACCTCGTGACTCAATTTCCTGGCCAAGCGTGGACCACATATACTCCCACTAGAGTACAGCCGCATCACCAGCCATCGTTTGGATTCACACCAAATCACGCGGCGATTGGATCAATCATTACATCTCTGCTAAAATTGGAACAACTACATACATATATGCAGACCTATTATCTCCAGAAGGAACCTGGCCGCCAATTTCCCGCCAAGCCAGGTGTCTACCAATCAGTGCTACGGTATTCCACCCGAGCACCTTCCTGCGATGAAAGAAATAGTTGATAGGCCTACACAGATTTACACAACCTGTGGGGTGTGTGCCGACTTACGCGGCCGAAGCCATCCCATTCCACGATATCCACAGGACGAAAGCGATAGAGAGAGCTGCTTGCAGAATCAAAACCCAAAATAACCACGAAAACGGGTCAAAAAAGAAAAAAAAAAGAGAAGGATGAGTTTGTCGCGGGGAAGGGGGAGAAGAAATAATAAATGTTCCGAATAATCTTATAAACGTGCAATGCAAATCCTCGACCCTATCGACGATCCGCTGTTTGCACAGGGCTGTAAACTACATCAGCCAAGGCAAGGACAAGAGCCATTGTGCATGGTTAAGTTACGTACGACACAACACCACGAAACAACAAGCTGTTCTCTAATTAGCCTGCCCTATTAAACCAGAAACCGCCAAAAGAACCTTCTGCCCACTTTCTCCTTACTCTGAAAATTCTACAATTCACTCTTCACACTGTTCCAATATGGCCTTGAAGCTCTCAAATACCTAAACAAACTATTTCGGCAAGAAAGCTACACCCACTTATTCCCGCATACCCCCCCCCCCCCCCCCTCTTTTACCTCCGATTTCATCCCCTCGCCACATCATGGACGTACCTACGATTCTTACACCCCCGACACCTACACGGTCCTCGTCGCCAGATCCTGCTCGACAGCTCTCCCGTTCTCCGCGCCCGTATCGCCGCACAACTCTCCCCTCGAGTACGCCGCGTCCATCAGCCGCATCGAGCTCGCGAAGGGCCACATACCTACCTTCGCCGCTTCCAACGCCGGATATCTCGCGCGCGCCGTCGCCACTACCTGGAGCGCGACGGAGACGAAAGGAAAGGTTGAGCGCAGGCGGATCAGAGTCGGGAACTGAAGCGGACGATGAGTTGACGAAGAGGTTGCCGGCGCCGCCGGGGAAGCGAAAACGAACTCTCTCGGAGGAGGATACGTATTATGGAGAGGTGGAGGAGGAAGCGGATGACCTAGACGGAAGAGGAAGAAGGAGGAAAAGAAGGGTAGATGAAGAGAATGGAGAGCGCAGGAGAAAAAGAAAAAGAATTGTGTTTGTGAGGAGAGGAATTGAAGTTGCGCTCATGGGAATGTTGGCGGGGGTGGTGGTTTATGATGGTGGTAGAGGAAAGGTGTGGAAGGAGATTTTGGCGTGGAAGATAGGTGCGTTTTGGTATTCCGGTTTTTACACAAATAGCTAACTTGATGCCCAGAGTTTTCATCCTGGTTTCTAGTTTTTGTCTCAATTCTAGCTTTATTTCCACTACAGATTCTCTTAAGAAGTCTTCCCTTCGAGCTTCCTCAGTCTCTTGATCCAGCACCGCTTCTTTATCCTATACTATTTCCGATTTTAGTTTCTCTTTCTCTCACTGAAGTCGGCGCTCCCGGGAGAAATCAGTATATCCTCGCAAATATCATACTTTCTCTTTCTTCCATTCCTCCGAGCTTCCTATCATTTCCCGATCTTCACTGGGTGCTTTCTCTCGTTCCACTTGTTCTTCGTCAACATCTTTCTTCTGAATTCACCCCCAGCGATACATACCCATTCCTCCCTCCACTACAACACACACTTGTTGCAGTATTAAACAACCTTTTAGAACCATCCCTCACACAGACGGAAATCCGTCTCATTTCAGTAGCGCTCATCAATTTACTCCTTTATGCGTCTACCCCTCAAGCCATAATTCTCAAATCTATTCTTTGGGGCGGAGGTCTTGCCACTCTAGTAAGCTGCTCCGACATCATTAAATTCAATATCGACCTCGCCCGCGTACCTACCAACCGTCTTTTTCGGCGCGCCGGCAACACTGTCATTACCATCGCCCGCCTCCGAAAGCTTGCCTCAGCGCTCAGGCCCAAGGGCCAGGCCTCCGACAGCGAAACTGAAATCGAACCCCTTCTTATCCCCAAAGTCCCAGGTCGACCTCGTGCTAAAAGCAGATCTAATGTCTCCTATTATGCCACATTAACACCTTCTCAATACCGCCTTAGAAAATGGGGCTATCCACTTTTCGTATATACCAGCATATTCGCCACAGTAATGCTAGGCCTACGGCCTTATATCGCACTACACGCTCTTGACGGTCTTGATCCGTTTCTCTGGGCACCCAGCTACCTCCTCTGTGGCCAGCCCTTCTATCAATCCTTCGTTGATACTTTCTCCCCGGGTACTGGCTACTGCGTCACCACCGGCTCCGCCGCTGCTGCGAATCTCCGCCTCTCAATTATAGCCCTATGGGCACTCATCATTGCCATCGGAATCACACTCGTCACAGCGCTATCCCCTTATGTACAAGTCGACACCCGCCGCAAGGTCTTTCATGGCATGGTTGTCGTCATGTTTCTCATTCCTGGAGTCCTCGACCCGCAATTCACGCACCTATGTCTCTCCCTTGCCCTTGGCGCCTTTATAATCCTGGACATTGTCCGCGCTGGCCAGCTCCCTCCTGCCTCTAGATTCATTGCAAGGTTCCTACAGCCTTTTGTCGACGGACGCGATCTCAAAGGGCCCGTCGTCGTCTCCCATGTTTTCCTCCTCCTGGGCTGTGGCGCAGGATGGTGGCTGACCCTCGCTGCAACCCCAGAAGGAGATCCGTGGGACTGGAGCAACAGAACCACGAGCTTGGCATTTGTCTCTGGTGTTGTATCTGTGGGACTCGGCGACGCAGCGGCATCGCTGATAGGACGTAGGTTCGGACGTACCAAGTGGGGATGGAGAGGCGGCAAGAGTATCGAAGGGAGCCTGGCGTTTATGACTGTCGTCGCAGCAGGAATAGCAGTAGGAAGATGGTGGATTGGTGCCGGAACATCGGGCTGTGGGCGCTGTGGGCCACTACAGCTGCAATGGGAGTGGGAGGTTTGCGCAAAGATTGTTGCGGTGGGGGCGTGGGGTAGTATGGTGGAGGCGGTGGTCACTGGTGTTAATGATAATGTGGTGGTGCCGGTGGGTGCTTGGATATTGGTTATTGGATTGGGTATTTAGTTAGAGGAGTTCTTTTTTTTGGGTAGTGCACTTATGATGGAGTGTATATATATAGATTGGAACGGTGTTTGTATTGTTTTTGTGGCATTTTTTTGCGATGATGGCGAGTAGGGGAGGAGTCAGCCGTTGTCCTGTGATGATGGTTTGGCCTGGCCTGGCACCCTGGACTACAAATATATCTTATTCTTCAAAATACATGTTTTATTATTGTTATTCCTGTATATACATCTTCAAAACCTCCACTCCCTATACAGATTTGAAGTGCCATGTTCTTGGTGGGGTGCGTCAGATAATATCACTCGTAAGCTTCGTCAACCTGTAATTTTCTCAGGGGAAATTATTAAACTCGCACAAGTTCCTCAAGACAGGCCGAGTGTTGGTGCCGTCAGATCTTACGTGAAGCCACAAGTCCGTGCCGCGTGCTGGGTTCGAGGTCCGCGCTGAGCCTTCCTGGATAGATCCCCTCTGAGATCCCGTTCGATGCCCCGCGTCTAGTAACAGTGTCTATTGGTTTAAACAATGTGTTGGCACGTGAAGTAACGAAGGACTCGGCTCACCTGGTGCTGGGGGATACTGCTCCGTAGATTTGGATATCTGGCTGAGGGACTCCTCATTGTATTTAGATAGCAAAGCCAAACTCGCAAGGGATATGTCCTCGCTATTTACCATCATGAGGGGGAGATACGAAGCGTGGAATAATATTTGGACGTTTCTCGTTATGTTCTTAGCAGCTGGTTGGGAGCCAGGAATCACAGTGTTGCAAGGGCAGCTCGGGTGTTTTTACATAATGTTTGCCAAGCCTTACGAGTGATGTCATGTGACGCATCATAAGTTATGATCTTTCTTCCACGACGGTGAGACATTTCATCAAATGTACCTGTATTTACATTTTTGGATTGCCTCCAGTTATAAATGGATACTTTTAATTTCTCTGTAAATCTTCTTGGGGTGTGTTATCACCACGAATGCATGGTTCCCTATAGTTGTGATGATACATGAGTTTGTCTCATCTAAATTCTGCTACAGACTCCATATACGTAGAATCCCACATATCTCTGAACTCTGAAGATTCTTGACGGGAATCTGCATAATGGTGGACATTGTGCACGGGCCACACAGTGCCCTTACTTTCATAAATATTTTACGAAATGTCAACGTTTTTCATCGTACATATTACGAGATACAATTAAATGAACATAATCTCACATCCCACTCCTTCATCTAGTATGTGTATACATATTATATTAAGAGATCTTGGACATGATATCTTATATACATTCAAGCAGGCAAAAGTCGACTCGAACATCGCAACGAATCCTGGTAGTTACATCAAATGCTGTAGTACGCATCTAGTCCTTACAAGTTAGGGGGGGGGGAGTGTAATAAACGTCCCAAACCCTGCCCTAAAGTCCACAGACCATCCCTATTGTTATCTATGTTATCCAGATCATCTATGAGATCTCCTACTATAAAAGCTCACCAATCCACCTTCTTCCCTTTCTTCTCCCCTCCCTCCAATCATCATCAAATTCATCCCAAATCCCCCCAATAACCATTTCCAAAATCCCCAATTTCATCACGATGTCATCCTCCCATGAGAAAATTCTCACAGAAAGCCTCCAAGAGGTTGAAAAAAAATATCTCGAACGCTGCGCCAAACACGACACTGGGATCCGTCCGAGGTTCAGGATGTCCTGTCGCCCAATTGCACCATGTCTCGCTCAACAAGCACGCCGTAGAACTCGCCGTCAGCCTGCTGCTAAAAAGACAGAAGCTCAGGCTAACCCGAAGCCTATCGTTAAGGGAGAGTCTAGCAACCCTGGAAAAGGCGGGAATAAAATCAAAAAGACTAAGAATAAATCTACATGTAAGGCTACCGCTGTTGAGGGGGCTAAAGTGCTCGAGAACGCAGACCCTGCTAAATTGAAGGATTGATTACGGTATGTACTTGCTCCTATTTCCTTTTATCTTTCTTCTTTTATCTTTCTTCTTCTTTATGGCCCCTTACTAAGCTGTATGATTGCAACCCAGACATGGAACCAATTGATGGAACGCCTGGTTGAAGGATGGAAAGATTTCTGGGTAAATACGAGGGGTGGCTGTGGTGGGAAATTTCTTTTTGTCTGTTCTATAGGCTTGTGGTGTGCATCATTCATGTTCTCTTGGGGTTTCATTCTACTTTCTTTTTTTTTCTCTTTGGAGATGACGGGGTTGTATCGTACTGTACAAGTCATCTCTTATCTGGATTTTTCCTTCTCATCCTCTTTTCTTTCTTCGTTTGGAAAATCCTGACAAATAAACACTGCCTGCACGTTATCTAGGATCAATTGTTGTGCTTTGATCCTTGTGTCGATGGCTTGAAATTGCGTGATCATAGTTGCCTTTATATTATATCTATGAATATATAGCCATCGTAATATCATCCCCTAGAATGAACATAAAAAGGCTCGCATAACACGCAATAGTCGCTCCGCACCATCCTTTATCATGATTTACACTCAATCTCATCCCGTTTATCGATATACAACCAATGAATTATCTATCTATCTATCCTGTTTATCGATAGCTCGCCATCTTGGCTCCCGAGTGATATATCATGTCGCTGAGTAAACTCCTCCAACTGCTCTCCTCTTCTTAAGATCTTTCCCCGCGCAAATCACCACATCCGTGGGCACGTCTCCACCACGAAAAACTTTAAATATTGTTTAACTCTTTCTTGCTCGGCCGACACCAACGTACCCCGACCCGCTAAGATCACCCTTGTGGCTTAGCGCCTCAATCATGTTCATAATATATAAGTTAGAGCTTTTTCACAGAGCTATATACATGTAGTACTGGCTAGATTTTAGGCTGCGTATTGCTTTACTTATCGATGACAGAGGTTTCCCATCTTGATTAGAGCTCCAGCTAACCCAGTTGCGGTGTCTTAGGTGCACTTCGATTCTTCAGGAGATGGGCGCATGTCTACATGAGCAGGCTGGGGTGTAAAATATCGATATCAGACCGCCCATAATCGTTCTTTACTATATGTGAATTCGAGGGTTAGGCCTCTTGTGAGAGGGGAGCCAAGGTGACCATTCCTGTGTAGATGTTGCTTTTTAAACGACCTGGACGTCATCATTAGTCTCCCTATATATATATCCCTTAAACCGTCAGGCCGAATTGTAATTAGAGGAACCTAACGCAGTTTGGAAATTAATCGTGATGTAGAGCACGCCTATAGGAGCAACAACGACAGAAACCATCACGATCGAAGTTTGTGTGTGATGAATTATCCGTTGCAACACAGACATACACCCAAATATTGCGTTTAACCGATCACGGTTTCCACTTTGCGTTAGGTTCCTCTAATTATAATTTGGCCTGATGGTTTAAGGGATAGGCTGGCCTTGTGCAACGACTCCGAGATATCAAAAGCGATGAAACAGATACCTATGGGCTTGAGATATTTTCTAGTGCGTTACTCTTGCATTGGTGCAACGGAACTGGGAATCCAGGTCTAATGACCTCCAGAGACCGAGGAGGGGGATGCTCGGTACTCTGTGTCTCAAGCCTACTGTATCTCGAATATACCTTGTTGGAAAGATCACATACTCTCATCAGAGAAGCCCCTAATCCATAATACTCAACCCCTGAATACGTTCTCATAGCTATTAAATTCGTACTATCAACATCTAAGTCTTAGATAAACTTCAAAATGGTGGATCCGAGCTAAACTACGGATCCTCAATGCCGTTGCGGAGGCTTTACACTTCCTTTTCTTTCCTCTAGGCAGTTTTATGGCGTAACTTTCCATATATTCATGTGGATCATATCATGATACTAAATTCAGCCTTCACGAGTGTGCTGAAAACTTCGCCGGGCCAGATTTCTATTCGCAGGTGGAATTATATGTGCGTGTAAAGATGGAATGGTCAAGTTCTATGGCTTTCCAGCGCATTTAAGTTGTCTAGAAAAGACATCCATATATCATCTGGGAATAGTCTCTCAAAATCTGCCGTGACAGAGAAAAATCCCGTATGATCAATCGGCCCCCTCCTCTTGGTAGCATTTATATATTCAAATAAGGGTAAATTTTAAGGCAAAAAATAAGCTCCCAGGTCGAAAGTGAGAAAATAAACTCGAGATACCTAGTCAACCGCGTTCCTTACACGCGTACAGGCTTATGGCTGTCTGGTTGCCTCTTGCTGCAAAGCGAGAGGTTATGGGTTCAAATCCCGTGTCCCCCACCCCCAGTATACCCATCTTGCCGGTCGGGCTGGGTTTTGGAAGTTTTCCCCAGTCACTTGCTCAAATGAGGACAGCAGTAATCCGTTGAACGTCGCCATAACCTCACGGTTGCATGCGAGTATAAGAGATTATTATTATTATTATTACACGGTTACAGGTGATAATATCTAGGTCTAGAAGCTTTAACCTCATTCATATATCTCCAGAAATTAGCTTTCAATACACGCTAGTGATCTATCTCATGAGCTCATCACACACGTACTTATCGATACCTAATCCGAAGACTCGATCCCATTCTGTTATTAGTCTGAAATTTGCCATCACGCATCTGAAGACTATAACCGGAAATCTGCATTTACATATACTTGTGCTTAATGACAAGAAAATCAATCAAATCAGCATATTTAGATTTTACTCACAAAGCATCACTCGCTGTATGTCTTGGCATGCATATGGGAAACATATTCTTCATCAGTATGCATTGGGCTTACACAACACGGACAAGTATATTCGATCTACCCAATGTGTCACAGATATTTCTTGGCTCTTATAACCATGACACAAGTTAGCAATGCGGGCTAAACAGATCGTTCATATTGGTAAAGTCAGCTCAGCAGTGGCAAGGCCAGCGTGTCTAGCTTTTTTTTAAACTTTATTATATATAACAAACTTACATTTCTTCAATTCCGGTCTTCTCATTCGGTTCTCATCGGCCAGACCTTATTTGTGTCAGGAAACATGTAATAATCCTAGTAGAGCCGATAACTTTGTTCCTAGGCTACTATAGGCTTGGTAATATTCATTCGAGTCTGCAGCTCACGGGTGTGAACAACAACTGACATCATGCATTGCTGTTTAGTTTGCGACTGGATGGTCATTTTCTGGCAAATAGATCGATACTTCTGCAACATCCCTTGATCACATCACCTCCATAACTAAGAAAGTGCATATCAATAATGATTTCTTTGTTTTTTTTACCACGTATTATCCTGTCATGGGTTGTCGAAGTTGCTTCTGGTCTTTTTCATCAATGTAACCTACAGAAATGCAGGGAACTTCCTGTTCACTAGTACGTACGTAAGTAATCGTGTTTGAATCTTCAAAAAACTCCTATGAACCATGCAGACTGCAGGCACTGATACCAAGTGTAGAAAGGTGAGCATTGTTATGCATACAACACCTAATTTATCGAATAGAGCTGGTAACTGTACGCGAAAGGATTACGCTCAAAACTCACCCGACTGGCTTATGCATGTTTCCTATTAGTCAGATATACTATATAAAGATACATACCTTTCAGCATGAGATTATCATCCAGGCATATTTGCAGAGTATGTAGCTACCTATTATACTGAGCTGCTTGTGCGTTCTGATAAGAGGGCAAGTTGGAGGTCTTGGATTGACCCGAGGATTGCGCCTTTACGCATACCGCCAGTTTGAAATCTGGTTTATATAAATATAGCCAATGATCTAAGGGCAAGAAAAGTACTCACAGAGACAAGCAATTCCCCGACAGGACACGAGATCATTCACGTCAGACTCCGACCGAGAAGCTTGGAGAGTAAATTAGTTTTGGATCCTCTAAGCGCGACTTCCAATAGTAGAATGAATGTATCACCGGCAAGTTAATGGTTTGATCAACATCATAAAGAAACATGGCTATGAAGTGCAAAAATGTAGGGCCGGGTTATTGGGAGGTCGACAATCAAGTATTAATTGAAGCTAGCCAATAAATACATATTTATCTTTTTATATCGATAATAAAAATTCTGGGATTGAATATCTACTTGGCACGCTAAGAAGACTCATGGTCATAGATGAATGAATATATCTCTGCAGCTCGGAAACAGAGGAATAAAGTTCAGCCGCGGCGCCGGTTACCAACAGATAATAGATTAATTAATGATATGAAATAAGAGGCTGGAATGAAGGTACTACAAGAAACTACATATGGAACGATCTGCGGGGAGAACCCTCCCTAGGACGATGTTTAATAATCCCGGGATACCCTCTCTGTCGATCATGCTAATATGGAATTGTCTATAACCCATCAGTTGTCAACCGACAGATCTCCAGTATTCGGCCGATCCGCGGACCATGCGAAGAGCCCCGTGAATCGGGATTTTGTCAAGTGCAATAATATCCTCAGACAGCATTCATGGGCATCCTTCATTAACAGTCAATTCAAAAGTCCATACTTGCGTGGAGAGAGAAATCGTGCAGGATTCTGGACATTGTCACAAGACCAATCTCACACTTTCAATACATAAGTACATTCATACATGGCTCGTTAATTACGCACGGACATCACAACATTTACCAACGCGACCTACCTACATCTGCGTCTGCATATTAAGGGGGTATTGATATATATAAGCATTGATATTTGAGACATCCAGTCGAATAAATCTGCAAGATCTGTTTAGCTCCCAATCTTACTCAACACGTTTCCTGGAGATGCTCTCAATCGGCTCTGTTAAATATAAACTGAGTCATGAAGTATCTTTGTGGGCCAATAGTAATAGTACTAGTGGTGGCCACCGTACGAGACAAGATGTCTCGAGCTATCATCTTGCAACACCCGGCAATACAGGTAGTTTGAAGGTACAACTATCTCGTGACTAGACTGAGGTTGGTCTCGAGACATACTACAAGTCTTTGCGCCACTCGTAGTACATACGCGTCAATTAATAGTTAGATAATTTGTGCCTTGTGGATCACGTGATTATGTTCTGATCCGGAATTTGAATACTCCTCCCATCTTCGCCGGCGCGCCCCCTCTCCAAAGATTAACGAATCAAAACCTGTTTCAGTGAGGGGGAGACTATATTTCTAATTGTTTTCAGCAATAGGATACGAGACTACAATTATCTCGCAATACTCTCGAGACCTCTCGAGACTCCCGAGAGTACCTTTTCTTTCATAGACGGTATAAGACGAAACCACTGCCAATCTGGTCTCGTCTTGTCTCGTGGCCATCACTATTAATAGGGCCCAATACTGATTATCAAATATGTGTACTGCATCGTTCACAACATCCGGGATAGTTGCCAAGTCATACAGCAGTCTATATTGTTCATTTATAGGTCAGAAATATCCAAGAGAGGGGCTAAACTAGTATGTAGTAGTAACTCAACATCAGTCCAGCCCGATCTAGAAACAAAATTCGTATCGAGTGATATATCATGATTGCGGTCTTTTTACTTCCAGCTGCAGGGACCAACTTTCAGGACTATAAAAATCTCTCGTACACGCCCTTCTCAACTTTTCTATCTACCTAAAGAATGTTGAAACGTACGTAGAGAGTCTTCTAATTTTCAGAACTCCGGAGGTGCAGGCTACTCCTTGTGGAATCTGCAACTGCATTTCAAACGCATCATGAGACTCTCAAATAAATATCTATTGTTGTATTATATTACATGTAAATATTGGTAGAAAACTCTGCCATCAAGATTCTTGCAACAAGGCGGTGAACGGAGTCGTTACCCTGAATGCGCGGGCTCGCTGTCTTTAATATTATATGGTTTCTGAGCCTTCGAGGAGCCACAACTAAGAGGAACTATAGATCACGATCGACAACTAAGCCGGCGCACTAGGATTAATATAACGAAAGGTAATATCTGGTTGGATAATTTTTTGAGTCATGAGTCGTCACTCATTTACTAATTACCCAAGAGTGGCGAGCTTAGCGATTAGTATTGATGCATACTTTTCATTATAAAATAAGCACTAGATTCGAACTAATTAATTTCCCGTTCCGGTAGGATTATTCCAGTTCTCGCAACTTCGTGCCTAAGACCAACGAACGCCATGGGGTGGAAGAAGGCTTACAGGGTACGGTACAAAGGATTCTTTAGGTGGACATTTAGTCCTCACTCGGTAAAGAAATCTCCAATCTAGGCTGTGCAGAGAAACAGCTTCGATATATGTTCGGTTGGCTACCATGTAATCCCTCTTCACTAGCTATAGGCATGCGATTTGCTGTTCCTCTAACCGCGTATTCTTGCGATTTAGATCGAATTCTGATCAAGCAGCTGCGGCCAGGTTTTTGATAGGACCACCACTCTAAGATAAGTACTCGAGAGACCCTGGAGAGGGAGGGAGGGCATTCAAGGGCTAGGGTTCAGAGTGGTGCAATTTCCTTCCCACCTGGAAATGCCCTCCACACCCCTGCTGGTGTCTCGTCCAGCCTAGAATCTCCATCAAAGCTGTCGAGATACGACGATGCCATATCTTCAACACTTGCTGCTCGGGCCTGCAATTGGACGTTTACACGGCACTCGTGCTAATATGCAGATGGATCGGTCCGAATAGTGAGATCGGAATTTCCTCGCTCGGCGTGGCGGCCTTGAACAACAACGGGGATCGTGCAACCGTTGACTTTTTTTCTTTTCACTTTTACTTTTACCTATGAAACGCCAGCCTAAGCTGCCAACGAGCTGCAGACACCCACCCATACTCTACATACATACATGTACATACATCTATCCATCACCCCCTTCCCCCCTCCTCCCCAAATGCAAACCAGAAGGGATCTCACTCTTTTCAGCTCCTAGAGCAACATATCTCTCCAAAACATGCATGATGGGCAGCTTGAGTAAAAGAAACGTGGTTTATGTATGGGGGCACATTCTAGCTAGGCAAGGGGAAAGAGGGGGAGTAGAAAATAATTCAAAGCCTACTTACTTTTCTCGATGGGCATCGAACTTTTCGATTCCCCGTAATATGGCGCGTATCTACAGCAGAGCACAGACGGTTTAGCAAGCAGATGTCTTTAGCTTGATGTGATGATTGATGTAGGGTAGAGTGCGATACACATTCTCGGGTCCCCCGCGTGCGTGTGGGTCAGCCGGTAAAGTAGTCAGTCACCCCACCAAGGTCTTGATGGCAGCAGAGGATAAGCTGTTAGTAAATGGAATAGGTCCAACCCTTGAGATCCGGAGCCACCGTTGATTATATTCAATTATTCAACGGAGCTCGAGAGAGATACCCCCAAGTTGAGCCGTTTTAGGCGCCAAACTTGGGAAAACGATGCGCACGATCGAGATCATCGATATTATATTGGTCCCCATTCACTATCTACCTATTCATCAAGGTTCCAGAGGATCTATTTTTTTCATAAGCTAGAACGCGTGACTTGTGATTGTGATGAGTTTCCACTTTTGGAAAGAATGCCGAGAAGAGCAGCCCAGTGTCAGAAGTTGTGCGTGCCCTGCGTCAACTCAACGACATTGTTCCAGTCAATACTTCTTGCAGCTGGTTGGTGGCTTATTAACGGCTTCTGCTGAAACAAAAGGCAAGGCACAGACAGATAGGATATACGGAGTGAGACATCATTATTCATGAATATCATGATCCTTCTTTACAGCGTCTAGGGCAGCAAAGATATCGATCCAAGTACAGGAAGGTCCTACTTATCAGTCTAAGATATCGTCCCTCTATCCGCCGGTGGGTGCACGTAGCAACCTTTTGTCCGTGAATAGACACCCAACGGATGCTCTGCCCCCGCCTGTAAGATAAACAGCAAATAATCAAGCTTGTAATCTCGACCATGTGTTCGGATGTATCCCTTATGGCGGTATCGTGACATAAGGAATTATGGGGGTCGTTGTAAGTGAATATGGGGTGGTACCGTTACAGCAATTGCGTCTAAGGTAAGAAGAAATATATGGGGGTACATATGTATATCTTCTTTCATGTACTCAGGCCTGTGCTCTGTTCCCAGAGTAGGTAGGCAGACAAAGCAGACCTGCAGTGTGCCTAGGTACAACATCTGTGCATCCTCATGACAGTTCGACGGGACAAAGCTAGGGCATTTCTATAAATGGAAACATGGGTAGTGTAAGATCGAAACGTTAACTGGTAACCAGGCTTGGTATACCCTGTATGATCTTGGGTGCAAAACAGAGCACTTCCGGCCAATTAGGGGTTTTATATCATAAGAAAACCTACGAGAGAATTAGTATGCATGGCTCCAGAGAGTAGAGTACATAGTAGCGTGCATTTCTTAAGGGAAGTATGGATTGCCTTAGAAAAGATATAACGTTTTAGACCGGGTACCGTGTCAGACCTAGAAGAGTGTCAATCCCACACAAATTTGTATGGGGATTTCCACGGTGAAGGCCACCTCCACCACCACTCGAGACACTTACTACCAAATTTTTAAGAAATGAATTTCATTTAAAAATACATACATTTGAATAGTTTCCGGATTAACTATCCTCTATTATGGTGATTGTAGAGTCTTCGTTTTTCGAAGGCTTTATGTCTAGTTTCAGTGCCGTTGCCATGCGACACACTTCTAGGTCTGACACAGTACTGGGTCGAAAACGTTATATTACCTCTTCTTTCCCTTTTGATGCTGAAATTTGAGAACACAGCACCGTAGACGTGGTATCGGGTCTGAGTCCCTCATCCCCCGCCACTTCATGCCTCTACAGACCACCTCGAGAAAATAGTGGTGGTGGTGGTTTGTGATTAATTTTACCTACTCGGTAACGCGTTTAGGTCAGAAACAAAATTCCAACAGAGTGGTTCGGCCAGTTTCGGACAACTTCATAAAGGGCCTAGTAGGTGAAAGAAAGGGAAAAAGAAATGGCTGGAGAAAGTTCCAGTGGTTGCAAATGAAGCTTGGGGGAGTGGATATTTACCCGCTCACATACACATCTTGACCAGAGTGAGTTACCTACTCTCCCCTCCTACCTAGCTAGGCCATGACCAGGTCACATTTTGATATGATATCCCATGGGCTTCCCATCCACCACCACCATCGGCTCACAAAGGAATAAATTCCAAGCTTTAGTTATGCCCCTTCCCTCCTTGACTAAAAAAAGTTTGCCCAACTCGAGCCTCGCATTTGATGGGCGATTCGAACAGGGTCTTGTTTTCAACCCCCATTGGTCCAGAGGAGAATTCCAGTGTCGACTGAGGTCTTAGATTGACTGCAATCACAAAAAGAGACAGCTCACTTCTGCAACCATGGCCAGCTAGCTAGCAGGGTGAGAAAGAGATATGGGAATAACTAAAAATGACCGCGAGTGAGATCGAGGTTCAAGCTGTAGGATCGATTGTTTTAATGCATACCTGGAGAGGTAACATAAACGCATATGTTTGACCCTCTCGTTAATTGTGTTGCCCTTAATTCGCCAACCTACCTACCATAAAATAGAGGTTAATGTTCAATTACTGGCTGCCAGCCGGCGAGTGTTTGGAAGACGATTACCTTTTACGTTTGAGTACACATACGTTATCGGAACGGAAAAACACCAGGACTGAAATCACCACTACCGCAAGCACAACGAGTACGACAAGCACTGCGAACCCCACTACCTAGGCACTGGCAGGTATGTATGACAAGCCTTGAGGGGTGGTTTAATTAACTTTTTAGTCGTCCAGAGGAGATCTGTGAAAGGTTCTGCTGGCCACTCAAAGAACTCTATCGGGATCGCATCCCGAGATCGGGATTCACGCGGGGGGTCGGAACTGGTTATTATGACCACCTCCCCCTCCATCCCGAAACCGGCCTGACAAGGGCTTGTTTTGCTGATCTCTTCACTACACACACCCCCCCCCCCCCCCCCCCCCCCCCAAAGTGAGTGATTGGTGGTTCTGAGTGCGCTGAACATCCAGGTTTCGTGTAAGTATTGCGCTCCCCCTAACTCCTTAGAAACGAAATCCAGCTGGCTAACTAGAGTCTGGACATTTTGATCAACATTGTTAATTCAACGACCATATCGAGTAAGGTACTGTTACTCAACGTACCATACTCCATAATCTCTAGTGAAAATACCTAAAAAGTACTCGCCCCGGACGGATATGCTGCAGCGGGAGGCCCGGATGCAGGGGGTTTTGTTTCACGCCCAGGGAGGGGGACGCCCGCATAACACATTGCACGACGGGCTCCTGCTCGCTTGATGAGGTGGGCTCTGCTCTCGTTTAAGTTGAGTGTTGGACAGAACATCCGGCGATAACCTTTGAGAGATATATACAAAGTAGGTACCGGTACTCCTCCTGCGGGGTTTATCTTTGCAGAAACGAAAGAGAGAGATGGAGAGATAAAATCCCGTTTAGCCAATTCAACCTTAAAGTATCTTTGTACGATTAGGGCTTTGATCCCGATCGCAGTAGCGCCACAAAATTACATCTTGACCTGCGTAGAACTGCGGGAGAACAAGGGGAAGACTTCCCTCACCAAAGTGACCAAACCCAGCACCGGTCGCGCAGGCCATTTTATCAATGCGCCTACCTAACTCTATGAAAGGTAAGCTGATGGGGTCATCCTGATAACTGACTAGTGCTGGATCGATTTGCCAACTATCGTTATCAAGTGTGCGGTGGTATCGTGTATCATGGGAAATGTTGTCTTCATGTTCCCTCCAATATTCAGGCGCGCCCTCTGTCCACTGTCTAAGACTAAATTCCTTCGGCCCGACCCGCTATAATCCATCCGTATGGAAAAACCAGGGTGCAAGGCCGGGCCGTAATGCTATCGGATAAACCCCATCGATCCTGAAGTAGTCAAGGCCGATAATCATAATCGGCGCGCGGGGACCCGAGGGTCGAGGAAGTTTCGTGATAACTCAGTAGCAAACAGGACCAGTGTGCAAAAGAAGGAGACGTTTGTTTGTTGAGTATCTCTCTCCCTCTCTCTCTCTCTCTTCTTTTTTTTTTTTTTTTTTTTTGACAGCTGTTCCTGCATCGTTCGTTGCCCTAAGAATAATTCTCGGTGGTGTGACTGGTAGTTGGTGTTACAACTCGTCTAGATCGACAATTCGTCGAATTTTGTTTCGACGTTCCTTTTGCAATTATCTGTTGCCAATTCGCATCACAGCATCTTCTCACTCAAATCCTAACCCACGTCAATCCACACGACGAACAGCGGAGTGCCAATCTGCAATATTATAGGTAGAATAATTCATTCTATGTGATGTTGAAGTGTCTCATTTTTATGCAGAACATTCTAACAAAGATAACCGACTTTGCATGAAGCGGAGTTGATCACTAGCGGACCCAGTTACGAGTACAATCTGGTAGGGAGTTAGCGCCTATATTAAAATGTCCTAGGTGATTGGATCAATTCAACCCCCGTGGAGTTGTATGTATTCTACTTTGAACCATCATCTTCAAGGGTTTACTCACAGAATCAATGCTGGAGTGTGCCTGAGGCCTAATCATATCTAGCTGGAACCGGTGCTCTAAAGTAGTCTACATATTTTACCAGCCAGCACAATATATTTCCGGGTTTTGTTGCCTTATTGGAGATCTTAGCCTTGGCAAGTATGTATGTCTTATTTCCTACATGTAGAGTGGAATACCTAGGTGCTATATGTATGGTATGCTGGAGTACTCTGGCATAGAGCACAGAAAGTACGTCGAAGTTTATGAAGTGCCTATGCCCATTCGAGTCACCCGCACATTAAATTCTCGGATAAGTAGTGATAATTGTCTTATAAATATATTCGGATAGATATCCGAGAGGCTCTTTCGATTTCCGCTGCATCAATCGGTACCGGGATATCCATCTATGTAGTTGAATAGTTGTACATATGCTTCTTCTCTGGTATGCAGGAGAGTACCTACTCGTATGTTTAAAACACGCCATTTAAAAGACATTATTGATACTCTAGATACCACGTGCCTGGATTAAAAGAAAGTGGTGGTTAGTTTCTTTTCTTCCCTTGACTTTTCTTTTTCGGAAACGAGTAGAACAGGTTCTACTTTGTACGCATAGATTATGTATGCTCACGTGCGACATTATTCAGTTTGGCCTTGCATTGCATTTGAGGAGGACAAGCCTCCAAACACCGAGGCAGCTGGATTATTCGGATCACAACTGAAGGGGGCAAAGAGCACCTCAGTCCGTCCATGGAGTGTAAAAAGCGCCACACTTCATTGACTCAATTCATGCCGTGGCACATAAAGGCTCAAAATTCAAGAATAGCCGGGCCTAGAGCCATCCCTTTGGCCGAAATCAAAACGGCATGCATCCTCGTGCCAGGGATTTTCGCGGCTGGGAGATTGAAAATCTAGCATTTTCCCATGTGGAAGGATATCGAGAAAATTCTCTTCGGACCAATATTCTTAAATGCCATTATCCAACCCAGGTGTCACTATCCGGCGGCGTACCTACTCTAGACGTTAATAGGCAATAGCATCTGCAAGTTTGTAAGGATGTGCAAAGACAGTGGGGTTAGTATGAGAAGCCGGGGAAGTCCCGGAAATCACTGGTACATACCGTCGATCCCATCCCTCACTACATGGTAATAAAGGGTGAAGTACCCCATCCAGAACTTTAATGAACTATCCTTTATCTCAAACAGACGGGGTGTTCAAATGAGCACTTTCTTTTTTTTCCTTCTTTTCCCTTTTTTTTTTTTTTTTTTTTTTGAGTTTCTGGCATAACTACATAACCTTGGTCCCAGATCAGGTGGTAGGCCGGTGCTTCGATGTTATCATTGAAACAACAGTGAAGAAGTACACGTATGACCACTTCACGGCCTCCAAGATCAACCGAGTGATAGTAAGAGATTGCGGACTTAATCCCTTTAGTCTCCAGCTGCGTAGATCGAGTGTAATACACTTGGGTCCAACTTTTCCGTCTGATTAATCATTAATTAATAATTAAACATATCGCGCTTGTTATCACCATAAGATCAGATTTGAAATACAGAGGGTATGGGATTTGGGTTGCGGCAGATAACCTTGTACCAACCAATAATCGTCCCTACGGGAGTTTGTCCGGGTGCGTGATTTGAGGCGACGGCGCTGTCTAACAATTTCTAAACAATGATCAACATATAAAATGCCGCGAGAGAAAAAGTGCCGTAAGGTGCGAACTGGGACGCATGGGGAGCCCCGAATAACTTAGTGCATAAGAGGCATCCCGTACACTGCCTACTCTACTTTAGAGTAGTAATGCTTCCTGACGGGGTAAGGCCTGCATGCCACAAAATTTGCTATTTACATATGCAGGACCTTAACCTAAATGTATACAGACCCCAAGGAAAGTAGCAGAATGTTTCTGAGGGCTCAGACATTGGGGATATATAGATACTTTGTATGTATGCAATTGCCAGCTGGTTTACATCGACGTTGGGAAGCAGCAGGTACACGTACCATTCTGCAGCAACGATGTTTTTCCCGCATACATTGCTTATCACGGGATAGGAACGGAAAAAGAAAGGAAAGAAATCCGCGTTTGGGAGGACCATTTTTCGGCATCGCCAGGGCCCTCCTTCTACACGTGGGGGAGAGAAAACGGTCGGAAAAATTAGAAAAAAACTACTAGGATTTAATGGTAGATCGCCGCTGGTCCTTGCACTTCTGACAAGGATAGCCCCCAAGGCTGAAGGGCTGAGGGATCGGCATGAGTTTCGGCAGGGTGATTTGCCTGTCAAATTTGTGTCTCCGGGGTACTGGTAAGCATGTTCGTGCTTCTAGATTCGGGCGAGAAGGCTATCCTGAACTTTTAAGATTCTTCGAGAGTGCTTAGAGTAGAGGCGTGAGGTACTTTGGAGCGGCATTTGTACAGGAACGCAGGATATGGAGGTGCATGTTGGGGTGTTCCCCTTCTCGGTTTTCATTCTCAGATGAACTGAGACCAGCGATAATATTGACTATTGAGATAATTTGATAACGTAAACTGCATACCGCGCCGGTCTAAAAGTATAACTGTAGAGCATATTGCGGCTCTGGATAGGCCATCCCAGCGCGCTTGAGCCAAAAGCAATTTGGACCCAAAACACAGTGCACGATGCGCGGCTAAATTGACACGACCCTACGAGCGATGGCACAGTCCGTAATTGGAATGTTGTGCATTATTTAGGGTGAGTAGCGAGAGGATTTTCGGCGCGATCTCTGTTTTGTTCAACTAGCTAGCGAGGTATGCAATATGCAAGCGACATGTCGATGCATAGATAGGTACTCATCCCATAGAGATTTCCAAACCCGACTCGGGCCTGCCTGAGGTTTGATCCGAGAAGTAAGCTGTATCCATAGAGTTAAGGTTAACGGGAAATAGTAGTATATTTAGGAGAGGTATTTTAGAGGCTTACTTGATAAATTCATAACATACTTTCAATGTTTATGTCGTAGAGCTTTTTGCCGCCACATTATTGTGAGGTCTACTTATCTTGGGACCCTGGTCCTGGACACAGGCCCCTCTTTGCTTCCCCGTCGACGACTGCGACCGAGCAAAGTTAGAGGGGTACTTACTCTAGTGCTTTGGATGTAGGAGAGGTGAGCTTTTGTTGGCTTCATTTGCTTTTTCTATTATTATTATTATCGTTTTTTTTGCTGCCGTCCACGGAGGGCGGGCATCTGGTCTACTTACTCCGTTCAGTCACTCCATCTTCACCAGCCGTACATCCGTGCAGCATCCAGCAGCATAGAGCAGCATTAAGCAGCATACAGTACATACATGTAGTAGCATACAGTAGCAGTAGCAGCACTGACAATATTATCAATCCAATCCAGTAACCGAATAGTAAAATAGAGACATCACTTACCAGGTACTCTGGTCAGGAGGAGCAGAGGTCCTTGCATATGTCCGTTTCTTTGTAGCATAGGCCATCACTCCCTCTCAGTCATCTGCCTGGCCTGTCGTTTGGGGGCTTTACCCTTCTCCATCCTCGTACATTCTACCACGAGCGGGATTCTGCAGCCAGTGTTCAACCTTCTACCCTCCCAAAGAGCTGATTGGTGGCGTTTGGTTCATCCCATGCTCCAAGCTCTGTCGTCTACCTGCTGCTTCTGCCTCAACTTCTCATCCGCCGCACACACACATCGCATCCCACCAAAAATTCCTTCGCAGCTACCCAGCACCAGTAATAGCTAGGCGGATACGCAAGTGAGCAGTCAGTGCACCCTCAGAGATCAGCATCTCCGCCGCTTTAGCCATTGCCAATCACAGTCTCCCTCCAAGAAAAGCCTACACATTTTTTTCTTGTCGGGTCTCATCATCAACGTGGGCGTGTAGAGTAAGAAAGACCAAAAACGAAAGGTAGAAGCCAAAGTTGTGGAAAGAGGAGATAACAAGGGCACCCGGAGCTAGAAATCGAAGGTTCAACCACGATCAGATTCGTGCGTGTTCACTTGTGGAACTCCGCTAACTCAGATTGCCAGCTCCTTCACCCCCCCCCCCCTCCAAATCCATACCTAGGTGCTGTAGGTACCTCTGTCTACCCACTCCAGTTTCCATTTTGATTCCCAAAAGTTAATTCAGGGTCAGGAATTGGGCGAGCCGAGCCGTTTTTATTCGAAAAAAATAAAAGTTCCAACCGGCCCAAGAACTTACCGAGATCTAGAGAACGAACAGCTGGCCTACTTCTATTATTGCCCTTGGTTTGATCTTCTCCACTCGAGAGAGAGAGAAAACGTCGCTTCCCGAGAGAGCAAACGCAACGCAGCTTCGTTCCATAGGATCCGAATTTCACGGGCTGTCCAACACGCAGAAATCAACCCCCTCTAAAGAGTCTACCATCTCGATCCTGCGATAACGGTGGACGAGGAATCTCTAATTTGTTTAAAAAAGTGCACGAGGTCGGAAAGAAGGCGATTGCTTGGAATATATCTATTAAAACACGATAAATCCCAACACATCATCTGTCCGGTATTTGACTACTAGTTCTCTACATCCTCATTTGGTTTTTATACTTCAACAAAGAGTTGCCAGCCCTATTGCTGTCATTTCCAAGTCACATACCGAAGATCCACCTCCGATCTTTCAAATAGAAAGGAACCATATATCAGGTTTCTTGATCTCCCTAAATACATTCGCTGTGGTGTTCGGGGTGACGGCTGGCGGTAAGACTTTTGCATTTGTCCTTGTCAACGTGTTCCCTTGACGGCTGGCAGCCAGTCCTATTCAACCGCCCAGACGAGGGGTTCCCTCCAATCCAAACGACTCATCACTTTAATTCAACCACATACAACCATTTCCCTCACTTACTTACCTCACTCGCCGCTCATGCCTGCCTCCTCCCTTTTTCTCCTCATACATTCACAGAGACCTTATTTCCTACCCTTACCTTTTGTGAGAGACGAAGCGCGGAATAGACTAACAGCAATATCAGAAAAAATCATCTCTCTGGAACAACTCTCCGGATTATAAGTTTCTGGCTCTTGAAATTCAATAGGTAATATTGCCCCCACGATCCCTCTCCTTACAAACTTAACCGCAACGTAAAAAAGAAAAAGGAAACAGAAAAACAGAAAAAGAAAAAAAAAGCCTCAATCTCGTTCAGTACATATGTACTTACATATTACCCAGTTCTCAGAGTCAGGCCCTATCACATCTTTGTTGTACTACCAACCTTCACTTTCTTGTGGTGGGAGTGAAGAGGAGGGGTTATCAAGAATCATCACGAACCACAACTATCTGTTTTTTCCCGGACGTCAGTCACCCTTAATTACCAATGGCTGAATCGTGTCGACCTCGCCCACAATCTTCCTCCGGCCCGAGACGGAAAACTACCCCACCTTCACCGATAAGACTGACTTCCTCCGCTTCTTCCTCGTGTATCCCACTACTGGCGAGCAGGCCTTCTGGCTCAAGCCCTCCGGCGGTGACTTCAGCGGTCGCATTTGGGTCTACTAGTACAACCCCTTCACCTGGTGCGTTCTCTATAGGACTAGGCAGCACAATGAGCCAAAGGAATCGTCGTGGAAGTGAGGTGGTGAGTGAAGACGGGGGCTCTTTAACACCTGGCGAAAGATTGCAATCAAACTCTTGGGGATATTTCTACGAACAGCCAGATTCTAGCTCGGGGGCTTTTGAGAATTCAGTGAATTCCGCTTCCTCTTCGGCTGCTGAAATAGCTGGGGCTCGTCTTAGTTCTCGACATACAGTATCAGCACCGCATCCCCAGCTTCCTTATATACGCCCAGAAACATCAAACGTAACTAGACATGTCAGAAACTCCTCGAGATCTTCTCACAGATTACGGTTAACTCTTCCACCTCCTCAAATTATTGATATGTTTGGCGTTGCTATCCCAACAACATTGCTTGATAGAAAAACAGAAAATGAGGGGAATGGCGTAGGTGGAGTACTTCATGATCAACAGCGCTTCAGACAGTCTTTACTTGGGATCGCATTCCCCACCACTCCTGATACTGGCCTCAACAATATGCCCGTTTTATGCGGAGGTAATGGAAGGGATGGAAGAGGTCTGGATTCTGCTGAGGGTGGTATTGGAATTGCTCATGAAATCATGATGGGAGGTGCTGCAGCTGCACTTTTAGCTGCGAATCCACATTTGGCCCCAGGAAGTTTGGCTCTTCTAACGCCGCCGGATGATAGTGGGGTCATAGAGTGGAGAAGAGAAGAGGCTTCCAGTGACGTGATTGTTCCAGTCGGCATACAATCGGTCCGGAAGCCCCCACCAATTCACGAAAGGTTCGATTCGGAGGTCATCACAAGTGGTGATAACTCAAGGAAGCGGGTTGCGGGGATAAAAAAGATTGTTGATAACTTAGACACCGCTACGCCTTCCACGAAAAAAAACGAGAATGATGGCGAGGAAGCTGGAGAAAAGAGTCGGTCTGCTAAACGTGATGCAGTTAGCGAGAAAGATGACCCTGCTGTTGACAAACCAGCAAAGGATGACAAGGATAGTCCAGGTCTCCCAGGTTTTGCGGAAGATGGGTGGTTAGGAAATGCTATGGCAGCTCTATGTTTGTCGTCCCCCCCTCCCCCCCCATTTTCCCCCTCGACTTATCAGTGTCTTACAAATATCGCCTCCGTAATAGTCGACACTCCTGTTTCTGTAAAAATAGATTCTTCTACTGTTCGGATGCTCTCTTATTCGCTTCCTTGTCCACTACCCAGTACAAGTGCTACGGACCAGAATACTGTCACATCAACATCAACAAATTCGAACATGCTTCCGGCATCAGCTGCTTCAGCACCTGCAGTCGCAGCTGCAGCTGGGCAGCAATTATCGCCAGCAATCGCCGCGAGATGCTACTCCAAAGTCAAAGAACATAGTGGATCTTCCACACCAACTGGATTAATTGGAGTAGATGACGGGGTAACCACTGCTTTGCATACCCTTACTAATGGTATCCAAAGACGTCACTCAAAGGAAGAGTCAAAAAGGGTATTCATACATGTTCATCACGCAATATCACCACATATTCCATTGAACAGGCTCCCCTCGACTCCCAGCATAGGAAGTGCGTTCGATCGTCCATCTGGGGGCGCAGGGGGCTATTTTTCGCCCAGTGTCTTCAACAGTATTGTTGTTGCGCCTGGGAGTAATACTTCCACGCCCGGGGCAGGTATTTTATCAGTTTCGACGCCGTTACCGAACCCCATCATGCCACCATCGAGTCTACATCTTACTCTCCTGGAAAGGTACATTCCGCCGACATCGCTTGAGGAGGACAAGGACATGTTTTCTCTGGCCTCATCAATTCTTCTTGACAGACTATTTGAGTTATCGCCAAAGGGAGGAAGCTTATTGTTTATCTACCCAACAAAGAAAGGAGCGAAAGACTTTGATAGACAATATTTGGGTCCTGTGTTAGACCCATTATTGAGAAAATTGATGGTTCTATACATGCTTCGAGAAGACTTGTTGTGGGGTATTAGAAACATGTCCGCAATAAATGGGATGAGGGATTTCGAGGGTTTGAAGACGGCACTCAAAATGATTTGTAGGAAGGTTTCTTCTTCCCAAAAACAGAAATCAAGGGACTTTTCAGGTCAACCAAATACCGTTTTTAAGTTAGTACATGCTAGCAAGGAGAACATTCCTTTGAATGATAACAGCTGGAGGGAATGGTGGACTCAGCAGGAACAGCTAAGGATTAGGGAGGCGGTAAAAAGCCACATGTCGAACCTTCAGCCACCAGGGGAATCATCACCTAATTCGAGCCCTAAGAAGTCATCGCGAAGGCCACCTTCGATTCAATCGGCAAAGGGACCACCCCCATCACCCCCATCTTCAACTTCGCCCACATCTTCCGGAATGCAATATTCCTTTGGATATGGTGCACCAGGAGATTTGGCAAGGGAAGTTCTTGACGGCGTTCGCGCGCCCACCGTTCGGCCTTCTTCCAGGGGAATGAGTGAGGCTGTAGTGGCAAGCGCAATGTCAGGTACCTCTGCACTGGGAGTTGGGGGCGTTGTCGGGGATTTTGATGTTGTCAGTGGGGGCATTAGTGGTGAGAGGAGAGTTAAGGAAAGGGGAATTGAAATGGGTGTATTTGTGTTGAGGAGGGAATACGTGAATTGAGGGCAAAACTCCAATACACGATGGGGCCGAGCAGGGGGGTGGTTTGAGGTTTATTTTGGGACTATTTTTCCTTAGATTGTTTATTGCGGCGGAGTTTTTTTATTTCTTTCGATATTTCCCCGAGATGGTACAATATCTATCAATTAGTGGACAAAGGGCTGTGGGATGTGTTTACTTTCTTTTGTATGGGGTATAAAAAACATTTGCATTTTTCTTTGACATGATTTTTCATTTTATTATTCCATTATTGATTATTGTCGGTTTTTATCATTAGTAATCTCAGACCCTTTTCTTTCTACCTTTGACCATTTATTCTTGTCTTACTAATTTCGGGATTCTCGTACGATCTTCAAGATTTCATTTTTACACTTTGAGAGCCAAGGAGAAAAGAGGCCAAAAACATTGGTCTGTTCATAAGGCGTGGGAAGGGCAGGGTTGTTGTGCGTTCTATGGTTTCTCTTCCCAATGGTATTCTTCTAATTGCAATTGAAGGGGAGCTTGTGGGTGGCAGCAAGGCTGGGTATTTTGGGTATTTTCCATGTGTGATTTTAACTAATCATCTCTAAGAGGATGAGTAATATTTGGGAAAGTAGACACTCAAGTCGAGCACCTTGTTGCAAGGCGTGATAAAACTCCCGCCGCCGGCTGGGTACCTAGCTAGAAGTCAAGCTAGGATTCGCAATTTCTCCCTTCAAGCTTTGTTTTACTTTTAGATCGGTCAAAATTAAACAGAGACATGAAAAGGGTACATATCAATGTGTGCTGCCGGTGCACGGTGAAAAGAAAAATAACGCAGGAGAAATTAGGTAATTGTATCCGCCAATTACAATCCCTTCAGGATGCAAGATTTGAGACAAGTAAGTACATGTAAGCAAGACGTCGAGTGATCTATCATGATGTGTTACATCAGTTATGTTCTGGTCTAACTTGCAGCATCATCTTTTTAATTTTTACTTTTGGATTAGTAACTTAGACTATGCAAATATTTGAATTGAATCAAGTTAGTCTAGTGATCGTGGTTGCACTTCACGTTCACGATGTGGAACCGCCAAGTTTATCGTGCATTAGCACCTTGTAGGTTTCTGTATAGTGAAGATAATAGTCTTGATTGATTCGACAAGAGGGTTAGACCCTCTTGTCCTATAAATAGCTAGCTAGTGTGTTCTTGTCCTCTTCTTAGAGTCGCGTTGTCTAGTTGCCTACTTGTCCCCAACTCGACCTCTACTACATGTGTACATGTCTACTTTCTACTCCGACTAGCCTACACACCTTTAAGGGGGAATAGCACAAGTACAGTATCAGAAATGGGGGTAAAACTAATACCGCATCAGTACGGCATTGTGAGAATATGCCGATTTATCCCCGTATTTTGACGAAGTAAACGGTAGTGTTACCGCAGTGGTATATACGGCATTGCCAAAGACTGCGGTAGTCATTTTATCCATGTTTCTGTCACTGTAATTGGTAGATGGCCCATAAACTTAGCGCTTTTCTGTAGACCGAATACTCACATGGATACATGTATATATATAGGGGAGGGTTGTTGGTGGATTTCGAGAGGTGATGCAAGCGGCATAATATTCGCTGAATTAGCTAACATGTATTTTGATTCGCCACGTGACCCGTGTCTATCTACATACCTATATACATGTAGGTACCAATAAACCCGGATCCGACCGATTTGGTGTCCTATCCAGCATTTATTCTTTCTAGGTGTCTACACCCTCAACTCGAGTGATGACTAGTGATGCAAAACCCTTTCGAGCTGCATCTGAAGAGGCTATAAATAGCGCTAGTCATATCAGGAGTGGGATTATATATTGGCTCACTAAGACCGAGCAAGTGGTATATTTGACTGAAGCTCCCCCGCAAATACATCATTTGCCGATTACGCCTCCAGAGCTGATAATGCTGAAATATTACAGATGATATCTATTTTAAACTAGGCATGGTACCTTGTGTAATGTAATGCCCTTCTGAAATTACTGTTCCCACTAAGGTGTTCCTGTAGAGGAGAAAGATAGATGCGTGTCGAGATTGCTTATAAAGATATTACTCGAGGCACATCTAGGAGCAGGTTTACTTATACACATTCCGGTAGAATTATTGCGAAAGCCAGAACTAAAAGAGTGGGTTTCTTGGTCCGTGTTCACTGCAAAAATTCCTTTTAAAGGCCAATAGGACTATCGGGTCACGGAAAACCCACTTTCGCATTAATTCTACCAGAATGTGTAACTCTAAGAACATTGCCTAGCCGATTCGTAGAAGCTCCGACCTAACGCCTACATAATTTAGTACGATTAAGGTCAAAGTTGTTAAATTTAAAGTACATACCGGTTTCCATATAAATCTGTTTTCGAGAGTTGACGTAGCCTCTACTCAAGGCGTCTTGGGCCATAATTTATATACTCTAGCGTGCGTAATGTGGACTTTGATCATGACAATCGATGCGCAATGTCGTTAAATTCGATCATATAACCCTTAGATACATACGTATCCTTGTCATCGAAAAAGAGCCAATGCAATGAGCCTTAGGTATCTACTTGGAGATGGCAATCTTCGTTTTCTGAGTGTTTCACGCTTGAAAGTCTGACTAAACCCATTAGCTTCATCTCTAAACATTGCATCTGTAAACAAAAACTTTTATAGTGCGGATTAATTGAAGGTCGGTGAGGGGACTGGGAAGATACACGGTGGTGAGTGATGAGATACAATACACGTACAGCCGTTGGCCGCGAATTGACAGATACTTCCTGTTAAGGAAAAAAGGTTACCAGTATGATAAGAAGCAGGTAACCACTAGATCCTCTCGTTTCTATTCATTTGGATTGGACCAATACCCCGACGATGTTCGTCGAGTGACAACGAAATCCTGTATGTTCATATGCATGTGTAGACATCTTTTTCTGGCAACTCGATCCCGCTCCCTACTCGAGCAGATCCACGGTTGGCTGGCTTTGTGAGAGAAATCTAGATCGGACAATACTGTGTGGTAGGTTGATTGATGGTTGTATCCTGGTTTTAATTGTTCGAGTGAGAGGGTTCTCGAGTAGCTAAGCTAGAGACATAGAGGATGACCGAACGGAAGCGAGAAAACCCACACAAAAATCCGAATAAAATATTAGAAATATTATTGGGTTTTATACTAATGAGTAAAAGAAATTTCACTGGGATGGGACAAAATACTTGCGTGGTGATATCTTCAATATCTGCTCCCGCTTCTACTTTAAATCAATTAACTATTGTGAAAATTCACCATGTAGGTGTAGCGCCTATATCGACCTCGCGATTTACATTCGGGCTTGGGGTAATTCAACGGCTGGCTATTTGAGTGAATGTCTAATCCATCTAGCTTCCCCATAGTTTGTAGGACTCAGGCTTACTGCGAACTCATCTCAAGGCTACGTATGAAATTTCTTGATCCTGATCTACATCCTCACCATGTAACTTATCGATATATCACTACTCTGCATTTAATCTAGGTACGAGGTCTCGTGCGACTTGAGTTGTCTTTAACGTCATTTGGGTATAGTGGCCATACATGTCTTGATTAGTATTGGCGGTCTTCCCTCTCTAAGTCTACGGGTGCTGATCTTACTGCTGGACAAAAATGATCAACGATCCTTAAGATAGGTAGATATAATTACCCTCTCAATGTTTAATAGAAAATAATTGGCTGATAGATATCGACTGAACTAGGTAACTGATTACATGTATCTAAGGCAGGTAATACCACCTGATATTTCTAGAAGGGAGATCCCTCAAAACCAGATACCAGAGAGATAAACCTATATCCATAGGTAACTTTACTCCAGCGGGAGTGTATTTTGCTAGACACCAGCGCTTCTAGTCGAAATTGATAACTTACATAATACGTTGAACAGATTATGTAGTGCTGTCCAAGGCGCCTTTGATTTCAAGTGTAGGGCAGAGCTTGAGTATCCTGAAATAAACTTAAACTTGACCACGGGTTGTTCGTGAACAAACCAGCCAGGGTAGCTTGAGCATGCCTTTCAAAGCGCCTCATCAGTCGAAGTGCAAGTCACGACTGATTTGTTTGCATCAACTGCACTTTGTGGCACCCTTCCTGTTACTGCATAACTGTTGAGTTGTGCACTTGCGGAGATTCCCAGTCCGAAATAGACCTCCCGATGTGCAATGTGCAATGTCCCCACCGGATAAGCCGTCTGGTCGCACCCCACACGTGCACTCTGAAGAGGTGTTGCCAAGAGACTGCGCTGGGTACTATTTGGAGCACGGATATTGATATCGGAGGACCGTTGCTATTTACCATGAGGGAATAACGGGGGAGTGAACTAGAGTGTTAGGACGGCGGCTTGTCGTGGCTGAGACCCCATACTGTGTCCAGTCTAGAGTATCAGTATGCACATGCCTTGAGGCATAACCGTTTCATATCGAAGAACCACGGGGTACTGGTGGCGCAGTTTGTTTGACGTCGTGCAGATATTCGTGTTACTCTACTGTTGAGCTGCTGCGCAGAGCAGACACACATGTCGATATCGTCTGTACTCTGGTGGATATATGCAGGCCAAGCCGTCTAGTCGATACCCCCCCGTCCCTAAATACGGGGGCAATTTACTCACTAAATTTTATGCCGGTAGGTGAAATGCCGATTTGTTTCGGAGGACATAAGGATCCACGTATGTAAATTAAGGAACAAATAACATAATGATTTTGCTGATTGATTAATAGTCGTCATTCTTTAGGTACATACTTGTAGTCCAACCCACTCCACGAGGCTATGATCACTCTAGAGTGGGAGGATACATGTAGATAAGAAACCCCGATTCTAACAGGTTACGCAATCCTACATGTGTTACCGCTATCGATATCGTCTCATTCCCAGATCTAGAATTTACATGCTTTAAGCCTCACCTTCGATTCTGTTTCTAGAAGGCCTAGAGAAGAGATGAGACGGCACGATTTCCATATCCATAATAATATATTGACCAATCATATCCCCTGTACCCCCAGATGATGCAAGGTTTCAAGTCCCCGCACACAGCCCAGTTGGTCACTGTTCAAGTTCAGCCTCTTAATTCTTGATCGATCGCCTTCCCCCGAATTTGTCTTGCTTGTTGGCTTGTTTCTTTCACCATACCAGACTACCTACTACGAAAACACGGGCTTACTCACAGTCTGTTAAGCTTTCAAGTTCAGTATTATCAGACTGCTAACAATTACAACTCACGATCTTCCCAGTCAGCGCACTAAAAAACTCCGACATTATTACCATATCATTAGCGACTTGATGCAAAAAGAAAGGTATACACCAACCAACCACCAGTGAGGTCTTTACGCTGTTTATTTTGTTCGTGTAATGTGACGATACGCAAGGAGGAAAGGAAAGGCAAGGCTGACATTTTCCTCTTGGGTCTATTACCCCACAGTAGACAGACGACGACGTGGAGACCGCCCTAGAAGCCCTGGATCATTTATCAAGCGTTATCGCGCTCGCAATAGTTAGAACCAAACTTTATTTCCCAAGCCGTCAACTACAATTCAACTATTCTGTTTCTTCTTGGGTTTCTTGGCTTCAGCTAGTCAAGAAGCTTAGACTCGATAGCTCGCTAGCAGCACCACGCACGCCCGGGAGCAAAACCATACGGGAGAGACTATACAAAGCACCTCATTTATCGTCGTGAAATCCGTCTGATTGCTATTGGTTGTACTTAGAATTCAAAAAAAAATATTTCACTGGTCGCATACATATATGCCCCAAGAGCCATTGCGACTCTCACCTCCAAGCTAGATACAGTACTACCTACTTGCACATTGCAATGGAGTGCTTATCCGATGATCAGATGCAACTAGCGAGGACTCCAACGATATCCATATGTCCTTCATCATCGTGGGAGGGCGGGGAAGCATTGCCCATGGATAATTGCAGCTCCTCGCGGCTTTCTGTTGGCTCGGTAGAGCCGCCAGTGTCACCTTCAGCGCCGTTCTCCATGATGAGGTTGGATAGTCCGATTACACCGAGCTCAAGTCTTGAGGACGTGGAATATGAGGTTGAGTCTTTTAAGGAGGGGTGGATACGCGGGTCCTCTGATAGGTAATGGGCACCGTCACGGACAGTAAGTTTAGAGACAGGCTGACAGGAGAGTTGTAGTACTGGGGGTCTGAATAATTTGGGTTTTAATACTGATCTGCCGTTGGACGAAAGTTTCCTTACCCTAATTGATTCAGTTCCCTTTCCAGATCTATCCCTAAAACTAGGGAACGAGGATAATGAGCTGGGCAGCCAGGGCACAACTTATTCACATCTCTCTCCAAGCCCGGATTTTCACCTTGCACGCCGCTACACTGACGGCTGGATCATGAATAAACTCAAACCCATCTGGAACTTCACAAGAACCTCGGATTCCAAAACAAACCAAGTGCCTCTCGAAACTACACAGTCAAACCACGCAAGGCTTTGCGCTACAGTGGCAACCTCGGATCGGACAGCTACTTCACCAACAGCTGGGTCACAGGCTCCAGCTCCATGTACTACCGGAATCGATACCGATAAACATATTTATGGAAGTTCACCGCAGAAACGGCCACGAGAGGAGCAACCAAGGAGACCTTCTCTGCCTTCACGGTGTGGCTCCTGTGTTTCACTATATCATCACCCGACAACGACTGGGCAGAAAATTTTCTTGAACCACTTACCTGTTGAAATCCTGCTCTTGATATTCGAGTATGCCTACCTGTACGAGTTACCTAGATGCGAGCACAAAAAACATTTCGGGGAGATTACTCGCCGGTCAACTACCGATTTTTTGCCCTCTCACCCTCCTACCCCGGCATCTGAGTCGGCAGCCGCCTCAGCATCCAGCACAGATGAGCTGCCGAGACTTCCGGAAACACTGCGGATATATCGTGCCAAGACATTGTTGTACATTGCGCTTACGTGCCGCCGGTTCAACGATATTCTGTGGGATCCCTATATCGACCACACATTTTGGCGAGATGCGGCGAGATGGTGCTGGAGTTGGTTACCGGAAGAACTGGCAGATGTACAGGGGTTGCAAGAGGTACATCAGTCAAATTGGAGGAACCTGGTAGGGGTTTTCATGAGGTCTGAGAATGGGTTATTCAAGCAACAAGGGGGAGGGAAAGGCGGGGTAGAGAGCTTTGGGGGCAGCAAAGCGTGTACTCAGGCGCGGTTGTGGAAGGATGAAGAGGCGAAGAAGATGCTACAAATGAAGACTATAAAGAAGAGGAGGCTTTTGATGGCCTGCGTACAACCAGGACCAGACCTATTTCATGTATCGCATGATGCGGAAAAAGGACAACATACTATTAGTCTGAATTTAAGAGGAGGCGCCGATTACTTCATCACCATTGACGAATATGGCCGTTTCAGCAAAAAACCAGCCAGACTCCCAGGCGGTCTCAAGCGTAACGAGAGAAGCTTGGGATACTTCCCACCTGACGTATTTGAAGTCGAGGGCGACCGTTTCCAGTTGGTAAAAGTTCTAAAGCGTCGGGATCGCTCCACCGCAGTACCTCCAAACCCCAATCCTAAAGCTAAACATCATCCTAAGCCTACAGTGAAGGAGATCGTGACTTGGGATCTTAGTTGTGTCCCGGAATACGAGTCTGACCCTACTGCCACGGTTGCTAGATGTACGAGTAAAGATGGGTGGCTGGCATTCAATCTCTTCTCTCATCGTGACCGTGATGATTCCAGTATCGAGCTTCTACTAGACCCACCCCTCGATCCCCCAGAGGATCAGAGACTGTTCTGCGTGCAGGCTTTTGGTTACCCAGGCTGTCAGACTCAAAAGGGAACAACCACCAGTAACGAAACCATGAGCGAGAAACGTCGAGGCAAAATGAGAGCAACAGACTACACGCCTATGGATCTCGATACTGAGGAGCCCCAAACCATTTTTCGCTGGCGCCGTGAGTTTGAGTACGAGCGAGCGGGCGACTTTGACGCCGCCCGCCGTCTGCACTATGTCATTTGCAATCTTCAATTGAACTCCAGTAAAGCGGCTGTCCTCATTCGATGGAATATACGGACACAGTCCTCAAACGAAGAACTCGTTGACCGACAATTCCAAGTCCTGGACCTAAAAACCGGTACTACAATTCGTGTCTTGCAATTCCCGAATCTCTACTGGGATCACCGACATCATGATATGTGTGTAGCGTATAATGAACTCAGACACAAAAAAATGAGTAGATTGTTTAATCACATGGGCCCCGACGAAGTAATGGGTGCTGGGAATAGGTGTACACGCATTCACGAGGATAAGTTTATCCTTACGGAGGACAAAATCATTTCGGGTAGTCACGATTACTGTAACTGGGTATGGGATCTCAACACTGAACCAGTATCAGATACTAAGGCGCTCGTATTTAACGCTGAGCGGAATGATGCTGGTGTAGAAGACCCATTCACGGTGCTAGACGACTTCTATTGGGATGAATGTCAAGGGGAGACAACGGCTAATGTCCCGAAGAAGGAAAACTGGAATACTAAAAATGAGCGCGCGGGGTGGTGGGTGAGAACTCCGAATCAGGTGATGTGTTATTGGCATGGTATCGCAAATAGCATCGACGGCCGTTACTTCGCGGCCTGCAGGCCTGGGAAAATGTTTGTGTGGGATCTGGAAGCAGAACGGAAGACGATTTTGGGGTTTCAGAACTTCAGTAATCATAGTAATCCCCGTTGGCTGGGGAGACTGTCAGCACACGCCCAAAATTTGAAACACCGATTACGGAATTGGTTCGTGTGGGAAGATGTCCTACCCGAGCAGGGGCTGTGGCTGCTGTTTGATGACCTAGAGGCCATTTATCTAGATAGAGACGATATATTGAGTGCGTGTGGCCTCAGCAGCGGCAAACGAACCTGGCAATTTCAGAAAGACGATTTTACGTTTTCTGATCGCGACAAAGAAATCGAGGGGCGAAGAAGGGAGGACCAGCTGGACGAGGACGAGGACGAAGATGACGATTATTACGAGTCAGATGAAGGGAGTTTACATGGTATTAAAAGAAGGAGGACGAATTCGTTTGGACTTGAATCATACACGGAGGAAGATGGTGGGTTTATGTTCGATAATGAGAAAGAGATGGATGAATTTGGACAGTAGTCTTTGATTTAATTATCATGGTAGTGTCTTATATCTTATGGATCGGCTTTGGAGCTAATTGTGGTTGGAGTTTGAGGCATCTTGGATTTTTCTTTCTTTCGTTCTTGTTTCGTCTTATATTTGGGCGTCAGTTTTGGACAATGGTAAATATGATTGCATACACATTGATCATAAATCTCTTAGAACGTTAGACAACTATAAATTTTCTTCAAATCTTATGAAACTTGGTTGGTCGCAACTTTATTTTTACCATGATGCGTTCGTTCATTATGGATGCTGTTGCTGTTGCTGTTTTTTTATTTTTTTTTTATTTTTATTTTATTTTGTGGTATGTGGTGATCATAATGGTTGGGTGGGTGTACTTGATGGCTTAGATCATAAGCTATCACTCGGGATAAACTCATCTTCCGAGACGATATAAAAGATATTTTTTTTTTGTTTAATTCATTAATTACATGTAACCTTATAATTACGGTAATGATATAAAAGATATTGTATGGACTGAAGTTTCTCGGCTCATTTAATTCATCTGTAGGTCCTTTCATTGCGGGATGCCCGGAAAGCGGGTTTATTGTTGATTATTTGTGGGCGGGTATGGCTAGATGCTTCATGGACTGGATAGGTTGTAGTCCACTAAGCTAATGTCCAACACATTCTGTATTGGAAGAGGTGGTCAGTGATAACGTTCGGTAGCTGTGGGCAGATATTAAAGAAAACTAGGCTGAATATCTCACTCTCCGGTCCCGGGTGGTACCATCGGGCGACCCATCATACGATAAAAGAAAATATTTCGCAGATTGAGGGCGCTGATTAGCTAAGTACAACAATAACGGTGCCTATTGGAACTTTCCAAGACTGGGAGTATATGCGAATCAATCATGCATATCCATATCGGAACAAGCTGGAATAGCTGTATTTCAATCCATTAGAACTGTTTGTTTGCATCAGAATCTTTTAGGAAGAAGTGAGAAAAAATCGGTGATGGGGGCAGCTTATATGTGAAGACCGGGTTGATATCAGTTTATGCATCTATGTATATAGTGTCATGAACTGAAGTAGGATATCCAGACCTGTCTGCTATCGTTTCGGTTGGTTTTAAACGGAAAGCATCTAGTGCATCTTCTACATATGTACAGCCGCATTCGAAAAGTTTTGGCACCTCCGGTCAAAATCACGAGGCAGTCCTTTCTGTTTTGCAATTCTCATATTCGAGACCGTTGTCAGGGGGGGCCTGCAATGTCTCTATTGCGGTCATACCTGTCGATAAGTTGAGTATGCGCGAGTGCCATGGTTGTTGGCGGGCTACAATTCATGAACGACTCAATATAGTAGGGTGCCAGTACTTTTCGAATGCGGCTGCACCTTCCGGGGGCCTGCGGCCTAAGATCCCAATGGAATGTTCGAAAGGTAATCCCAAGGCTTAGAAGGTGGGTGAGCAAAGCCATTTGACTACATGTACAAACATTACCATGTGACTTCTGTCTACTAGTGTAGTGGGCGCTACGGATGAACGACCTAAGTATCCTGAGAATTTACATATATCCATGTTCAAGGTTGACTGGAAGCTACCGGTGGATAACGTTGGTTGACTGAACGAACATTCGCAAAATATGTATCTGTAGTATTTGGGTACAGTAGTCTCTCGCTATAAGGATGCGATCTTGACTAAAATTTTGTATCCTTATAGAGAATTATCGCTATGGCTAAGGAGTAAGTGATAAAAAGGTTGACGGAACCGGGCGATCTATCCTTATAGGGCATATATCCTTATAAAGAATGTCCTTATAGCGAGGGACTGCTGTAGACCCCCCTCGTAGAACTCACGTTAATCTCGTTAGAGACGACTAGTACTACCCACTTCTCATTAAACATGCGAGTGATATTGCATGACTAAAAATTAAAGCGGTGTACGTGTCACTAAGAAGGTACATAGCGTGATATAATAAAGACATGAGTGGATATCTGAAGTCAACATGTGTACCGAAAAAACCGTATTGAGAGTTTTTGAATCTCGCTTTCTCTCTACCGCTTGGAATCAAATGGTAATTTCTCTTCATTGTAGATTTGAAAGAAGGAGGGAAACTGTCTAACATGTACCGCAATCAGAGATTGTGATAGTGCCGTCAGTTGTACCATCGTCGTCAAGAGACTTCCCCTCCGTCTTCTTAATGCATTCCACCCCTGACACAACTTCACCAAAAACAACATGCATACCATCGAGATAAGAGGTTTCATCAAAGGTGATGAAGAACTGGGATCCTATTCTTTTATTAGGGCTGATTCTCAGATTCATAAGGGGTAGCAAAGAGATTTACCGTTCGTATTTTTGCCTGCATTGGCCATAGAAAGGAGGTATGGCTTGTTATGCTTTTTTACGAAGTTCTCATCGTCGAACTCCTCGCCATAGATGGACTTTCCACCAGTACCCTATGCACAAATATCGATGAGTACCTGCTACATCATGTGGAGAAAGAAGATGTGTTCACATCGCCTCGGGTAAAGTCACCACCCTGAGCCATGAAGCCGGCGATCACACGGTGGAATTTGGATCCTTTGTAGCCGTATCCATGCTCGCCGGTGCAGAGTTCACGGAAGTTCTTAGCAGTTCTGGGAACGACATCGTCATAGAGCTTCATTAAAATCCTGCCCCAATCCTCCGCTGGGATTAAAGTTAGTCTATTTTTCTTATCAAGAATTGGAAGGCAAGCGCCTCAAGCAAAAGCATGATGGATCCAAACTATCAATTAAAGAATGGACGTCTTTCTGGGGGAGTTATAATAGCTTCCATGATAGTCTATGACTTCATTTGAGGTACGCCGGATCTGTGATCGTGGATGAAGTCGAGAATAAGGAAAAATGGGTACCTACTTGGACCTGAGCGTGGTGTGTATGAAATATCAAAATAGACATTACTCATGATGTGTGTATTGAAAGAAGACTTGGTTTAAAGAAGTAAGTATGTGATGGGATGATGGTTGAGGGTTGATGCCGGACGAAGAATAGACGGAGGGAAGGAGAGGTAGAAGGACGAGAAGGGAGCGGGGTGAAAAAGAGGGGTATTTTAAAGCAGACCCGGAGAGCAGATGTACGTACATGAATGTTTACATACATGTATTAGAGGCTACGTAGTAGGGGTGGTGGTTGATGATTTCAACGTGCAGTTTGGACCATTTGTAGTACAGAGAAAAGATTGCCTACGCTCTAAAGTCTTGTAAACAATAAGAAACAATCAATACTTCATTAGCCTCCTTCGCAGGGGTTATGGTCAACACGGAGGTGTAAAATAGTCAATTCCAAGAGTGAATAGAAACCAAAAGAGGTATTCGATCGGCATCCTGCGTATCATAAATTGAGATTGACTATACCCCCCCAGTGAAGGAGCCTAGTCGTAAACGAGTATCTGCGCTACGGTGTTCAAATGAGTACGTAGAACGTGGCGGTGTGGCTTGAGCCGTTATTTCCTTGTTTTACTCCCGCTATCTTTATGATCCAGGTACTCATACTCTAGATAATGTAGTACAGATCAGCCGGTTGCATAGCAAATCCCTAGCGCCGCCACGGCTATTGATAGAGTATTACCTTTACCCCACTACTTAAATTTAAAGCCTCATTCTCAAACATGCGGTCTACCTGTACTGCGCGTGATAATGTTTTGTATAATTCTCTCTAGCTCTGTACTGCATTGATATACATGCACACACACACATATATTGATGGCAATGGTCTTCTATACATCAAGGCGTGTCTCAATTGAACAACTGATCACTAATCCAATATAATCAAATGGAATATGTAGACGACGTTATGGCGGAATACCCTTGTAATTGTTAGCCTTGTTTTGCTTTGTTTTCCTCGGATTGCTGTATGTTTTACTAGCTACCGTGTAGCGTGGGGAGGGAGTCGATAAATTAGTTGATTTAAATTTACGGTAGCATGTACTTATTATAAATACATGTACTGGGGGTTAAGGGTAAGTACTGAGAACCCCCTTTTGGGAAATTTTTAAAAATGAGGGTTTGGAAAGAACTCTGATTGGGCTGATATGAATTAAAGTGACACTTGGCAGCCAAGCAAGTATTTGAGGTAGCCCGTTGCCAGCTTTTGCAACACAATCTCCATCACTTCAATTTGACTCCGGTTCAACCACAATTTCATCAAATAACAACCCTCAACAGAGTCTGGCGGCCTGAAATGATTTGCAGATGAGGCGGTAGGCAGGGGAGATACTACTGATTTTTTGTTTGTATTTTTAACGATTAAGTTCGATTTTTAAGTGAAAATATATGAGAACGTCTCGGTATTTTTTTCCCACATAAGTCTTAGTAAAAATCATCCTGCACCATTGGTTGCTTTGGTTGCGCCAACTTTTGCAGAAAGTCTTGACACAGTAACCACTAAATACCAGACTGGGTACGAGGTCAATGTACTGGGGGTTAACATTAAATACCGAGAATCTGATAAGATAAACACACCTATTTCACAGCAAGATTCTCTTATCAGATTCTTCGTATTTACTGTCAACGCCCGGTACATGTAGGTCTCTGGGGACACCATCTATGATACCCGAGTTGCCCATAAGGGATTGGTACTCGATTAGTCAATACTTAGTATCCGGTTTGATGTATACACCTATATGTACCGGGTGTGCACGTTAAATACCGAAACACCTTGAAGAATTGGTTGATTTTGTATGGGAACCGCCCATGGTAACCAAAAGCAGCTAATGAATTTTGACCTTGGCCTCAAAATTTATATGGTGGAAAAAAATACCGAGACGTTTTATCTATCTTCACTTAAAAATTCAAATATTTTTCTAAAAATACAAAAAAAAAACCACTGAATAGCCCTTGCTCACAGGTTCACCTGAGTACTGATTCGAAGTTATCAAAGAAGTTTTGGTGAAGTTCGAAAAGAACAGGAATAGAGAAAAGATTGAGGGGGTTACGTTGCAAAAGCTGCAGGGCATACTGTCCAAATACCTGCTTGGCTGCCAAGTGTCATTTTAATTATATCAGTCCAATCAGATTCCTTTACAAACCCTCACTTTTTGAAATTCCCCAAAAAGGGGTTCTCAGTACTTACCCTCAACCCCCGGTACATACCCATGCCTACATGTAGAGCTAGAGTACGAAAGTTGTCATAGTACGCTATAACGCCATAATGCGTGCGCGTGTTAATAACGACATCTGTACATATATAAAATTTAACTCCCGTGAGCATCTCTTCACTCATCACAAATCGTGTTTAAAGCTCTTAAATGGCCACATATCTGCCCTTCTTAGCTCCTGCAACTGGCGATGAGAGGAATCTCATCCACAAATAAAGAGAACAAAAGAGTTCTCGATGTGTAAAAAAAGAGATAATTCTTGCTCGGTACGGGTGAAATCCCTCCTTTTGTTTAACAGATAACAGTCATGGGCATATGAATTTCAACTAATGAAATTGCGAGACTAAAATACAAGAGGGCTATAGCTAACCAACTGTTCAGCTCAAATTATTACCTCTACCGGCCTTCCAACTCAAAGGATAATAGCTCTAGCAGATCAATACGATCCGAATCTAAAATCCATATTCTGCCTTGACTGCCTTGCATTTTTCAACGCTATCTCTCGCCTCCAACCTGTCAGTCCAGGCCGCAACGGTTGGGAACTCATCTCTCCAACCATCGAGTTCTGGCTTGAGCCAATCGGCGGCCCATTGCCAAGGCAAAAATGCAAGGTCTGCATACGATGGTTTGTCGTTTACCAGATACTGCTTCCCCTCAAGGACTTTCTCAAGAACACCCATGATACGCATGGTTTCGGCGCGGTAACGTTCGATTGCACTAGGAATCTTCTCATGATGGTATCTCAAGAACCATCCGAGCTGGCCCATATATGGTCCCTGGCCTGTGAATTTCGTGGGGTTAGTAAAACCTAGCGAAGCGAATGGCATATAGGAAGGGATTGTGGATTAAAAGACTAACCGGACATCTGAAACATCAAGTACTGATTTGCAGTAGCGTTCGAGTCGAAATCCGCGAACGAGATCTTGTGTTCTGTATCATATTTACCAACTAGATAGAGCATAATGGCACCGGACTCCCAGATGGTGAAGTCATTGTTGGAATGGTCGACAAGGGCGGGGAGACGGCCATTGGGGTTGACTTTGGTGAATTCTGGCCCCTTGTGCTCACCTAAAAGTCCGACCCGATAAGTTAATGAAAAAAAAACTAAACTTCCAAGTAGATACAAATATATATACCCTTTTTCACATCGACAACAACAGCTTTGTATTTGAGACCGAGTTCTTCGAGAATAATGATAACCTTCAATGGGTTAGGGCCTGCGGAGACAAAGAGGGTGAATTGCTTTCCGTGGCTAGTTGAGGACGACATTTTGATATAAGTTATTTTCTGGAGGTATGAGGTCTAGATCTTTAGAATTGATGTTGATGCTTCGTTGTGTATCGACTGGAGTATAATTTTCTCAGCTCTGGCGTAGAACAGTATTTATATTCATCGTCTACACCTTTCATCTTCTTTTACATTCCCGAAAAAATAACCAGCTGTTGACTAGATTTACAATCGTGGTTAGTTGCTTACTCGGGCGAATGCAAGGACAGTAGCCACGTAATTCGGAACACGGGACAGGTTCCTCCGCTTATTACAAAGCATCAACCCCCGATGGCAGCGGCGGAACTTTTACACCGGCCGCGGAGAACCTATGATTTGGCATCAACATTTGAAACGGTTAGCTCGTGTTATCCCATGGTCCGTCAATGCTGACCCCCCAATAATAGAGGAATTAAATTTGTATGGGAGCTCGAGGAGATCTGCAATTGCAACATGGTTACGAGCCTATCAGAGAAGGCATATATTACCAACATTAATTTTTTTGGACATGCTGATTCGCGGAAACTTCAGTTTAGTGGTCGAAGTATTGTCAATTTACATATCACTGTGCAGCAGCAGCAGCAGAACTCATTAGAGCGTATTTGCCAACCGTCAATTTCAACTATTGATACTTCAAACTTGACAGTTTCGGGAGGCAAAATTGACAGTTCCCCTCAGTGGCCAAAATCGATCTGGTTAACGGTATGACAGAATAAACCCGAAAACCAGACAATCCATCATGCTACCTGTGAAATACGCTGTTGGAACTGAAAATTCATACCCATGATACTAGCTTCGGTAGTAACAAAACTGGGTACTTGTGATCCTCCTAATATATCTCACAGCATGCCGCCCCACCGAAATTCAAAATTAACAGCCCCGGTTGCCATTTCGGAGCCCCACAATTTGTAAATTCTTGAAATTGACGGTTGGCAAATACGCTCTATTGCACTCAAGATTGATGCGTCGCAAAATTGGATTAATCCGAATACAGTTAATTCTCGAAAAATCCACTATCCCCGTATTTGTATGTGGTAAGCCTGGGCCAAGGCGAATTGGCGTATCAAACTTCACGGATTCGTGCAGATACACACTTTTCCCCACCGGAATTAAGATTTAACGAAGCGGAGATAGTGGATTTCTCGAGAATTAACGGTATCCCATACACCGGCCTGGCGTTTAAGTCCCCGAAGAGTAATAGCTTGACAGCTCTAAAGTCGCAAGTTTTGATTACTATATTGAACATAATACTAATAAAACCTTCAAAGAATATGCATAATATTAGATTAGAGCTAGCCACCACTGATACCCGTAGTCCCAAGTTATTGGATCCTCACGAATTTTATTAGGGTCATATTATAACCCCGAGTACTCAAGTGGTTTCTAAAGTAATCACTCTCGCAACCTCGGGTCGGCGAAAATAAAAACAAAAGGGATTAGAATTTAACTGCAGCGCCCGTTGCTCTCAACTACTTAGCTCCAATAAATTCGGTGCTTGAGTCATATCTAGATCTATCGCCTGGTCGGCCGAGACCTGCTCAGAATCTGGTGCTCTGCAGCCTTGGCAACTTTGGACCAAAAATTACTGTTTGCAGGAGTTGTTTGTTGAAATCTGAACTGTATCGTTACCCTATATGGCAAGGCGGGCACCGGGTTTGTACAATATGCAGAGCACCAGATTCTGAGCAGGTCTCGGCCGACCAGGCGATAGTTGAACGATTGGCTCAGGATTAGTCCCGGATAAATATTTGGCAGGGGTATTAATTCATTGTACCACATACTTAATTTCATGGTATGTCACTCGCAATATTAGTTCCTCTCATGTAGTTGTACAAAGTAGTTAAGAAAATATTAATTAGGTGGTCAATCGGCTTTAGGACGTTAAGGGGAAGCTAGCTGTCAAATGAAACTGATAAATCCGAATACCCTAAATCGGGAGTGATTTGGGTTAATACTTCCAGATCTAGCTCCAAGAACTGGCGAGAATTTGACGCAACTTATTTGAAGAAAAAAAGAAGAAAAAAGAAATCTTCAGCGGTGAATCAACAAGAAGGCCCTCACTAGAGACTTTGGCAACAATGACTCTCAATTGGTTGGATCCGTACGATAACATGCACACAAACGTAGCAGTATCACTATCACCGTTGCTGCACACCAATTGGCAGTATTCAAAATAATATATTGTAAATTTATATATTTCCTAGGCCCTTTTGACGTGCTAAATTCGACCTATAATTTCTCTAGTGGTTTGCAAGAGCTTCCTTGGCCGCCTTCATCTTCTTCACACTATCCAATTCATTCATCTTCGCATCCCAAGCGGCAACCTTGGGGTACTTCTCCTGCCACCCATCAAATCCTGACATCCATCCCAGCAACCCGTTCCACGGGAGGAACGAGAGATCAGCATAGGAACATTTGCCGCCCACGAGCCATTCCTTGTCTTTGAGAATGTCCTCTAGGACGCTAAGAACTCGCAGCACTTCTTTGTTGTATCTGTCGATAGCGCTGGGGATCTTCTCACCGTGGTGTCTGCTGAACCACACTGCTTGCCCGTAGTATGGGCCCTGACCTGGAATATTATGTCAACACCTACAATATACGTTGCATGGCAATGGTGGAGAGACGAACCAGACATCTGGAACATTAGGTACTGGATTGCAGTCGAAGTCTGCTCAAAATCTTCAAATGAAATCTTATGTTCCTTATCGTACTTGCCAACAAGGTATAGTATGATAGCACCAGACTCCCAGATCACAAAGTCGTTATTAGAATGATCTATGAGAGTAGGCATGCGTCCATTGGGGTTCAGGTCGGTGTATGGTTTCTTCTTATGTTCCTCTGAAGATGCGTTAGTCAGTTGTTAACGGGGAAGACCGGGGAGGGGTGGTAATTACGGGTGCTATAATCGACGCCGATGAGGTGGTAGGGAAGACATAACGCCTCGAGTACAATGGCAACCTTCCATGGGTTGGGACCGTTGTGAGTGTAGAGGGTGAATTGCTTTCCGTGGTCGGCAGGCATGATGATTTTAGGATTAAGTCAGGAAGTGGAGATGGACTGATGGATTGATGGATTGATGAACTGATGAATTGATGAGTGTGAATGCTTTGATATTCTGGATACTCACAATCAACAGCGCGGAGGCAAGACTTTAATTTATACCTTTTCCCATCAACTTGGATGTATGTAATTCCATTGATAAGAGCTACATGTAGGTATTAACTCATTCTCTACTTTTTCCAGCTAATGTGCCAAGTTTCCCCGCACACCTCTAGTACGAAGTTGTTTTGGCCTACGAAAAACAGTTAGACGGCCCGTGTTAGCGGAGAGGGGGAAACACTCAGTGAGACAGAGGTTGCATTTCCAAAGCTTTGTCAGAACCATCCGCGAAGAATCGTGAAGAATCGAACAGTACTACATAAGCGCTGTAACTCTGTTGGTTGACAAATCGATACATATCCCCGCGAGTGTTCTTCGGCCGATAAAGAATCCTGCTCATCACGAGGATAGTATACAATCAATAAAAAGCTGCCGGATATTGAGGCTCAGACTGATTACAACATGCTCAGCTACAGTTTGAAACAGCAGGCAGGATTCCGATTGCGGTAGGTATCGGTACGAGTGATTCTTTAATCCAAAGTACAGATTCATCGCCGCATGTAGCACCACATAGGGTCTAACCTAATTAAGCGAGATCGATTTGTAGCCACAACCTTGTACCTACATACATACATAGAAGCTTGTTTTATTTGATCATGATTAGATGCTCTATTGATTAACTAAATACGATAGAATATAAGTACATGTAGTCAATTGTTCTTTAGATCAATATTGCAATACAAGTTCAAATCTAGAGGGAAAATGTCTAGCGGAAAAAGAGAATATGAAGTTTACTAAAACCCGAAGTGCACTAGGGCTCTGAGCTGATTTGCGGCCATGTATCTCGCTGACCTACTAGTAGTACCCATGGTAGCTACGTACATGTAATATATCCAGTCTCCGAGATGGTATGCACTCAACGGCGTAAAGTCCCTGAGCCTGCTAATCTATATTTATGGCTTAATAATGGCGTAAAATATATATTAGTTCTCTCACGAAAGACAAACCAGCTGCAGGGGCCCAGGGACTTCCGGTGTCGCCAATATATAAGCACCTGCAGCTGGGGATATATTGTCCAGGTTCTGAAGGTTATATTACCGGGATATACGGTATGTTAGATCATCGAGGTTTGGGATATTGTTGACCAAGTGAAGAAATATGCCCCTCTCTTGAGATCGTGAATTATAGCGAGAGAATAAAGAAATCACAGGGAGACTAAAACGATATGTAGCCATGAAAGAGATAGCCCCTATGGTACAATAATTTTGGTGTAAACGGGATAAGTCATCCCCTGGGGGGGGATAAACAGGGGTCAAATGGCCTGTTTTGGGGCCTAAAAGATAAGATTCCCAGTATATGAGATATCTCCAGCGACGTATCTCTGTAGGGGGATATCTCCAGCGAGGTATCTCTGTAGGAGGATATGTAGGTAGGCTCGTGAGGCTTATCCGCTTGTGAGGATATGTTAGATACGCCTGTGATGCTTATCCGCTTGGAAGGTGTAACGGAGCCATTTCAACTGTCTGGTGTATGAGTACACACAGGGCCCGGTTACATGCTGAGAGTTATTGTTAGAAGCCAGTTGCACGGTGATATGCAAGTACCGGCAGTGTGGTTAGCTACCAGCTGTCAGAGTAACTACATTCCGGGCGCTAGGAAGAGGATCTATTCATGGGAGCAAGGACTGACGAGTCTATGCCTCGCCAGTGACTAGAAGACCGGCCAGAGTGAAGCTCTGATTGCCCGGTGATCCTCTGTATCCTCTGAGCATTGTAAGTCCGCCGAAAGGCAGGGACTATGCTAGGGAAGTCTACAATAAATGAAAGCTCTACAGCAATGATTAAGCTGACACCTGAGCGGTAGCTCATTCATGCAGGTCCTCGGTTGTGTGGTAACCGAGGCTG